TAAAATAGTATGTAGGTAGAGAAAATTTTTTGTTTTAAGACAGACTGTTAATCACAAATTTATTTAAAGACGTTAATTAATTTATTGATTTATTCATTGTTAAATTAACCGTATTTTTTTAAAAATGTTAATACTTTGAATAAACTTTGTGGGGATAGTGACGTCCCTTGATGTGTTTACTTTTTTGGTACAATAAAAATGGCGGACTCCATCATAAACATTGTGGCCCATTCAAAAGTTTAACGCGTTACAAAGCTAATTTTCTGCCGGCTATAACTTAAACAATACGTCCGTTTGCTGTATTTATTACGTTCCAACACTTATATCAATTTTCAACTGTCTTTTTCATTTAGTTTTACGATAAATTTCTCTAGATCTAAAGATCAGCTGCGAAGGAAAGTTATGAAGCTAGCCTAGATCTAGATCTATCTAGATCTAGCCTAGATGTAGGTCACTAGACTCAATGTAAATTCTAGATCTAGACTTAATGTAAATTCTACATCTAGAATCTATTTCAGGCCTTAATTATTTTATATAAATCTTTGTTTGGCTAATTTAAGATAAAATTTAATTTGAAAGTTACTACTACTAGACTAAGATCTAGATCTATGCGCGGAGACTCAAAAGTATAGTATAAAAATTCACTTGTGACGTCACGAGTAAATAGCTAAGCTGGTAGCGTAGTCGGCTCACATGCAGGTGGTACGGGTTCTAGACCAATATGTCGATGAAATTTTTTTTTCAATTTTTTTTTTTTTTTAGATGTGAATGATAAAGTTGCCTATCTGAACTTGGCAAGATACAGGGCAGGTGAAGTAGAGTTCATCTGTTTCTTTGTCCTAAGCATATGAAAGGATAGTGTGGTCAGAGAATGCTCGGCTGGAATTGTTTTTTAAACGATAAATACATGTTGTCTGAGACTTGGCGGGACACTGGGCAGGTGAAGTAGAGTTGAGTAGGTCACATGTGACGTCAGTATATGAAGGGATAGTCCGAAATCGGTGTTTTCGGTGTTTTTAAAAGATAAAAAACATATTTTTGAATGTGGGGTCTGTTTTTTGTGACGATAAGTGACACTGCAGTAGCGTAGCGAGGAGGGGGGGGGGACGGTAGGGGAGGCGGGGGGGGGGGGGGAGAGGCAGGGGGAGGTGGATGGGGGAAGGGGGGGGACATATGTTGGGGCGCCAAAATGGTTTGGAAAAATAAATTGAAAGGTTGAGGGGGGTTCAAATCGAAAGTTTGAGTGGGGGGGGGGGGGGGTGCACATCAAAAGTTTGAGGGGGGGGGGTTTCAAATCGAAATCTTGCGGGGGGGGGGGGGGGGGGGGTTCAAATCGAAAACTTTGTCCCCGGGCGCCGGGAAGGGTCGCTCTGCCTCTGAGTGACAGACGTGATGTTTTTTTATTGATGACCCCCGAAACCCACAGTTATCCAACGGATGACGGGTATTCTAGTTCATAATTTGTGAATTCGACAGTACCAATGCTGCCACTGAAAATATTTGCTTTAAAACACTAACCCCCCTCCTTTCCCCTAACCCCGACCCTACACCCCCCCCCCCCCCCCCCCCCCCCGTGAAAGCAGCCTCCTCTTAGTTACCTCCTGTAAGTTTAAAGTCGGTTCAAACTTAATTATCTGCCCCTAATAGCCGTCACTAAACCTGGCTGTACGGTTTGTAAACATTAACGTGATCACAGCTCAGCAGACCATGTGGGGGTGGGGTAGGGTGGTAGTGATAGTGATAGAGAGAAAGAGAGGGGACTGTAATGAGGCGTTTGCAGCTTGTTTTCTAACGGCTCGCAGAGGATAATTACATATATAGATTTTTTTATTTTTTTTTTGAGTATGAAATAATATTTATTCATATAAAAACATACACATGTATCAAATTTTAAAACTATAGCACTATCCCTACCCGATTTATAAGCTCATAACTAAAAAACTATCTCACTGAAGTAAAAATTAATGCACATTGACACATACAAAAATGCCTTCTGAATAAAATAACCTTTACTATTGAAAATATTCGAAAAAAAATAATTAAATGTTCACTTCGGTAGTAGAAAGCATCGAACCACTGCCACGGGGCTGACCACAGCACAGTTGTGGGGGCTGGGCGTTGTGCCCAAGCGGCTGTCAGCTGTCTGAATACGTTCTACTCAACTTATTCTCATTGTTTTTATTTTGTTTAAAGTTGTTTTTTACAGTATAGTATTTGTATGAGTGATGAAAATAAAATAATTATTATGGAGCTAGCGAGCTGTATCCGTACATCAAAAGAGCCGCATGCGGCTCGCGAGACCCATGTTGCCGACCCTGCCCTAAGAAGTTCAAGCCTGAAAAGGCTTCTTAATTCTTGATCTCACATAAAACATTTTTTTTTTTTTTTTTTTTTATACTTTTATTTGCAACTAAAACAAGTACATCAACATCACATTTTTTACATAATTTCGAACATCAAATGAAAACGAAAGGTTTTGCAAATGTACATAATGAATATTTACATGATGTCATGTATATGATTATAAAAAATTGCAAAGGATGACGGTAAAAGGGGTGAAGGTCAAATGAAAGTGTCAGGAGTCCGGGTGGGGAGTGGAAAGAAAATTGTTCAAAGATGGTCAATAGGACAGTGAAGAATTTTCTATGTAGGGAAACAAAATATGTTGACCAGTTGAAAGAGTGTTTATTTATATGCTAGTCGCATTGAGTTTTCAAAAGGTTGTTGTGTGAAAGATGAGGGGAAAGAAGCAAGATTTAGAACTTTAAATAAGTAAATGAATAGATATTCGAAATTGATGTTGGGGTGGGTGGTTGGGTCGTTGGAACAGTTAAAGGGGATGTGGGTTATCATGTCTGAGGGTGAAGTGGGCAGAGGGGGAAAGGTTGGTATGTTCAAGTCGGTGTTCATGTTTATTTGAATGTTTAGTACCGACAGGTTAGGGGTGGGTAGGCGTGTAGCTATCACGGGGTGTGGGCATACAGTGGAGTTTTGAATTATTATTTTTTTAATATAAAATAATTTTTTTTTTTTTTGTTTAATACTTTTATTTGCAATTAAAACAAGTACATCAACATCAAATTTTTTAACATAATTTTGAACACCAAATGAAAACGAAAGGTTTTGCAAATGTACATAATGAATATTTACATGATGTCATGTATTTGATTATAAAATAAAAAATTGCAAAGGATGACAGTAAAAGGGGTGAAGGTCAAATGAAAGTGTCAGAAGTCTGGGTGGGGAGAGGAAAGGAAATTTTCCAGAGAGGGTCAATGGGGCAGTGAAGCATTTTCTATGTAGGGAAACAACTTAAGTTGACTAGTTGAAAGGGTGTTGTAGTGGTCGCATTGAGTTTTCAAAAGGTTGCAGTGTGAAAGATGAGGGGAAAGAGACAATATTTAGAACTTTAAATAAGTTCTGGATATTGATGTTGCGGTGGGTGGTTGGGTCGTTGGAACAGTTAAAGGGATTGTGGGGTTATCATGTCTGGGGGTAAAGTGGAAAGAGGGGGAGAGAGGAGAGGGTAGATTTTTTTTATTTTTATTAATTCAATTGTTTTAAACATTTAAATCAGTAATAATGATATATTTGATAGATTTTATAAAGATATTGTTTCATAGGCAAAATGCTCCATTTGTAGCCATTATCAATTTAATTTTGTCTTGCAATATATATTGTGTATAAAACTTTACAATAACTAGGTTTTAAATTTTTAAATATAATCTAATTTTGAAAATAAATCATCGGTTTAGACTCAGAATACTACAATATTAAAAATGTATATACATAATCAAAGGAAATAGTAACAGCAGTTTATACTTTTATACTAATTTTTTACTTTTTATTTGTTAAAGAAATTTATAAACAATATTATAGGTTATATCCCTTGATTGACTTAAGTATAAACAGGGGAGTATACTTTCACTATCATACGGTTCAAAAACTCCTTGCATAGCATTACGGCTAACTTATTAACAATACTCTCTTTATCTCTCTCTCTCTCTCTCTCTCTCTCACTCTCTCTCTCTCTAATATATACAAATAAAAAAAAAATTCAATACACAGTAATGCACTTACACACATGAGATGTTGTTGTAAGTTATTTTAATGTTATATATGAATATAAATAAATAAATAAATAAATAAATAAATATATATATATATATATATATATATATATATATACATATATATATACATATATATATATATATATATATATATATATATATATATATATATATATATATATATATATATATATATATATATATATATATATATATGGGGGCCTAAAAAATTTGTTGCGGGGTGGCCCTTTATTTCTAGTTCCGCCACTGCACACCGCTCGCTAGAATCTTGTCATTCATTTCCAAAACTTTTGAATAGAAATCAGAAGAAAACTAAAATGACGGCTAAAAGCTAATAGATGTCGACTCTAGCCAACTAAACCAAACAAGTTTGATATTACCTGTGTGTAATGTGTTGTTCGTCGACTAGCCTACACGGCCTGTTGATGTGCCACCGACGTGTTGATTCGTGTGTTGAGCGAGTTTGATATTACCTGTGTGTAGTGTGTTGTTCGTTGACCAGCTTACACGTCCTGTTGATGTGTCACCGACGTGTTGATCTGTGTGTTGAGCAATCACGTGACAAGGACCCACGTTTTCTCAGAAAACTGTTGTATTGATTTTGTGGTGTGCTATATTCATGTTTCTTTAGGTGGCGGGATATATTTGTTAGATCAAATCAAGATTTGGGCGATAAGGCCTCTGATAAGCAGAACCTAAAAATCTAAAACAAACTTTGAAAGTCTGGCACCTTTTATAGGAGAGGTGAAACACACTTTAACAGTAACATTATTGTATTTTAATACATGCACCTCCAACATTTGTTTGTCATGAATACAACATATCCATGTCATGGGTGTCTTATATCAAACATACAACATTTCAAACACAAACATCCAATACGTAAAATACGTCGAAGTCAAGGTATAAAAATATTTTATTTTGTGATATTAAAGCTCAATATAAGGTATGTTTTTGACACACACAACACATAGGAATTACAACGCATAGATCATGATATAAAATATATAAACCTTTCTGTATTTGTATGTACAATTGCGGGTGGTTCTGTATCAGTTTGTATGTTACATTTATACAGTGAGCCTACTGTTACAGTGAATACTTTCAACTATATCAGTGTGTGGTAGTAACAGTAAATGTGAGTACTTGTCACTATAATAACACTTGTCTGTCACTATAATAACAAGTGCTTGTCATCATAATAACAAGTGTTTGTCACTATAACAAATAGAACTAGTCACGACACCAACGAGTGCTTGTCACTGTGACAGTGTGTGCTAGTCTATCTACCAGTCACCATAACAGTGAGTACTTGACCACAGTTTACATGAGCACTAGGTATTGCAGCACCATCACCACAAGAAACAACAACGGCACGGGCATCAGGTGAGCTGATCCTGGAGAAAATCAAAATAAACACATTTGATGGCATAGATCTTTGTACACAGTTCTGATAGTTACAGTTTATAATGGTTCAAATTGGGCACTATGATATAAGATGTGATGAAATAAGATGTAATGAAATACTATGTAATGAAATAAGATGCAATGAAATACGATGTAATGAAATAAGGTGTAATGAAATAAGATGTAATGAATTAAAGTGGTAATGAAGTAAGATGCAATGAAATAAGATGTAATGAAATAAGATGTAATGAAATAAGATGTAATGAAGTAAGATGTAATGAAGTAAGATGTAATGAAATAAGATGTAATGAAATAAGATTTAATGAAATAAGCTGTAATGAAGTAAGATGTAATGAAATAAGATGTAATGAAATAAGATGCAATGAAATACGATGTAATGAAATAAGGTGTAATGAAATAAGATGTAATGAATTAAAGTGGTAATGAAGTAAGATGCAATGAAATAAGATGTAATGAAATAAGATGTAATGAAATAAGATGTAATGAAGTAAGATGTAATGAAGTAAGATGTAATGAAATAAGATGTAATGAAGTAAGATGTAATGAAATAAGATGTAATGAAGTAAGATGTAAGATGTAATGAAATAAGATGTAATGAAATAAGATTTAATGAAATAAGCTGTAATGAAGTAAGATGTAATGAAATAAGATGTAATGTCTCCTACCATTCCCGTGGTCAGCGGCATGACTGGCCTCGCTCTGGACACCGTCTCTGGCCGACACTTGCCCTGGAGATACGACAGGTTGGTGGTTACAAAGATTTTACATGAGGCAGATAATGTGCTTGGACTTGAGATATTACAGGTAGGTGGTTACAAGATTTTACTGATAAGATCAGCGTCACAAATAAATACATAGAGATTAATATGGAAGCCATTTGCAGTGAGTACTGCTTGGGGCACTCAGTACCTGTTTCACACGTGTTGATTCTCAGGGTGTCGATGTCCTTGACATACGGCTCAAGGTGAGGGTCGTCCTCTAGGTAACAGCCGACTGACTGCAGGGCGTGCTCGGCACATCCAATGTTGAGCTGCATAAACCTGGGTGAGCAATGCACGTGTTACAGCAAATGTCTTTGGTATTGTCATAATCTGAATGCTACATGCACTGACACAGTTGTCACAATTATCTAGGTGTTCTACATACTGTCTTTGGTATTATAATAGTCTAGGTCTGATATGCAGTGTCGTAGTCACTGTAATCTAAGTGTACTGTGCTATAATCTAAGTGTACTGTGGTATAATCTAAGTGTACTGTGCTATAATCTAAGTGTAGTGTGCTATAATCTAAGTGTACTGTGGTATAATCTAAGTGTACTATGGTATAACCTAAGTGTACTGTGCTATAATCTAAGTGTACTATGGTATAACCTAAGTGTACTGTGCTATAATCTAAGTGTACTGTGGTATAATCTAAGTGTACTGTGCTATAATCTAAGTGTACTGTGGTATAATCTAAGTGTACTGTGCTATAATCTAAGTGTAGTGTGCTATAATCTAAGTGTACTGTGCTATAATCTAAGTGTACTGTGGTATAATCTAAGTGTACTGTGCTATAATCTAAGTGTACTGTGGTATAATCTAAGTGTACTGTGCTATAATCTAAGTGTAGTGTGCTATAATCTAAGTGTACTGTGGTATAATCTAAGTGTACTATGGTATAACCTAAGTGTACTGTGCTATAATCTAAGTGTACTATGGTATAACCTAAGTGTACTGTGCTATAATCTAAGTGTACTGTGGTATAATCTAAGTGTACTGTGCTATAATCTAAGTGTACTGTGGTATAATCTAAGTGTACTGTGCTATAATCTAAGTGTAGTGTGCTATAATCTAAGTGTACTGTGCTATAATCTAAGTGTACTGTGGTATAATCTAAGTGTACTGTGGTATAATCTAAGTGTACTGTGGTATAATCTAAGTGTACTGTGGTATAATCTAAGTGTACTGTGGTATAATCTAAGTGTAGTGTGCTATAATCTAAGTGTAGTGTGGTATAATCTAAGTGTACTGTGGTATAATCTAAGTGTAGTGTGCTATAATCTAAGTGTAGTGTGCTATAATCTAAGTGTACTGTGGTATAATCTAAGTGTACTGTGGTATAATCTAAGTGTACTGTGCTATAATCTAAGTGTACTGTGCTATAATCTAAGTGTACTGTGCTATAATCTAAGTGTACTGTGGTATAATCTAAGTGTACTGTGGTATAATCTAAGTGTACTGTGGTATAATCTAAGTGTACTGTGCTATAATCTAAGTGTACTGTGCTATAATCTAAGTGTACTGTGCTATAATCTAAGTGTACTGTGCTATAATCTAAGTGTACTGTGGTATAATCTAAGTGTACTGTGGTATAATCTAAGTGTAGTGTGCTATAATCTAAGTGTACTGTGGTATAATCTAAGTGTACTGTGGTATAATCTAAGTGTACTGTGGTATAATCTAAGTGTACTGTGGTATAATCTAAGTGTACTGTGGTATAATCTAAGTGTAGTGTGCTATAATCTAAGTGTACTGTGGTATAATCTAAGTGTACTGTGGTATAATCTAAGTGTACTGTGGTATAATCTAAGTGTACTGTGCTATAATCTAAGTGTACTGTGGTATAATCTAAGTGTACTGTGCTATAATCTAAGTGTAGTGTGCTATAATCTAAGTGTACTGTGGTATACTCTAAGTGTACTATGGTATAACCTAAGTGTACTGTGCTATAATCTAAGTGTAGTGTGCTATAATCTAAGTGTAGTGTGCTATAATCTAAGTGTACTGTGGTATAATCTAAGTGTACTGTGCTATAATCTAAGTGTACTGTGGTATAATCTAAGTGTAGTGTGCTATAATCTAAGTGTACTGTGGTATAATCTAAGTGTACTGTGCTATAATCTAAGTGTACTGTGGTATAATCTAAGTGTACTGTGCTATAATCTAAGTGTACTGTGCTATAATCTAAGTGTACTGTGGTATAATCTAAGTGTACTGTGGTATAATCTAAGTGTAGTGTGGTATAATCTAAGTGTACTGTGCTATAATCTAAGTGTACTGTGCTATAATCTAAGTGTACTGTGGTATAATCTAAGTGTACTGTGGTATAATCTAAGTGTACTGTGGTATAATCTAAGTGTACTGTGGTATAATCTAAGTGTACTGTGCTATAATCTAAGTGTACTGTGGTATAATCTAAGTGTACTGTGCTATAATCTAAGTGTAGTGTGCTATAATCTAAGTGTACTGTGGTATACTCTAAGTGTACTATGGTATAACCTAAGTGTACTGTGCTATAATCTAAGTGTAGTGTGCTATAATCTAAGTGTAGTGTGCTATAATCTAAGTGTACTGTGGTATAATCTAAGTGTACTGTGCTATAATCTAAGTGTACTGTGGTATAATCTAAGTGTAGTGTGCTATAATCTAAGTGTACTGTGGTATAATCTAAGTGTACTGTGCTATAATCTAAGTGTACTGTGGTATAATCTAAGTGTACTGTGCTATAATCTAAGTGTACTGTGCTATAATCTAAGTGTACTGTGGTATAATCTAAGTGTACTGTGGTATAATCTAAGTGTAGTGTGGTATAATCTAAGTGTACTGTGCTATAATCTAAGTGTACTGTGCTATAATCTAAGTGTACTGTGGTATAATCTAAGTGTACTGTGGTATAATCTAAGTGTACTGTGGTATAATCTAAGTGTACTGTGGTATAATCTAAGTGTAGTGTGGTATAATCTAAGTGTAGTGTGGTATAATCTAAGTGTAGTGTGCTATAATCTAAGTGTACTGTGGTATAATCTAAGTGTAGTGTGGTATAATCTAAGTGTAGTGTGGTATAATCTAAGTGTAGTGTGCTATAATCTAAGTGTACTGTGGTATAATCTAAGTGTAGTGTGGTATAATCTAAGTGTACTGTGGTATAATCTAAGTGTACTGTGCTATAATCTAAGTGTACTGTGTACTGTGCTATAATCTAAGTGTACTGTGCTATAATCTAAGTGTACTGTGGTATAATCTAAGTGTACTGTGGTATAATCTAAGTGTAGTTTTGGTATAATCTAAGTGTAGTTTTGGTATAATCTAAGTGTAGTTTTGGTATAATCTAAGTGTAGTGTGCTATAATCTAAGTGTACTGTGCTATAATCTAAGTGTACTGTGGTATAATCTAAGTGTACTGTGGTATAATCTAAGTGTAGTGTGCTATAATCTAAGTGTACTGTGGTATAATCTAAGTGTAGTGTGCTATAATCTAAGTGTACTGTGGTATAATCTAAGTGTAGTGTGCTATAATCTAAGTGTACTGTGGTATAATCTAAGTGTAGTGTGCTATAATCTAAGTGTACTGTGGTATAATCTAAGTGTAGTGTGCTATAATCTAAGTGTACTGTGGTATAATCTAAGTGTACTGTGTACTGTGCTATAATTTAAGTGTACTGTGTACTGTGGTATAATCTAAGTGTACTGTGCTATAATCTAAGTGTAGTGTGCTATAATCTAAGTGTACTGTGGTATAATCTAAGTGTACTGTGGTATAATCTAAGTGTACTGTGCTATAATCTAAGTGTACTGTGCTATAATCTAAGTGTACTGTGCTATAATCTAAGTGTACTGTGGTATAATCTAAGTGTACTGTGGTATAATCTAAGTGTACTGTGGTATAATCTAAGTGTACTGTGCTATAATCTAAGTGTACTGTGCTATAATCTAAGTGTACTGTGCTATAATCTAAGTGTACTGTGCTATAATCTAAGTGTACTGTGGTATAATCTAAGTGTACTGTGGTATAATCTAAGTGTAGTGTGCTATAATCTAAGTGTACTGTGGTATAATCTAAGTGTACTGTGGTATAATCTAAGTGTAGTGTGCTATAATCTAAGTGTACTGTGCTATAATCTAAGTGTACTGTGGTATAATCTAAGTGTACTGTGGTATAATCTAAGTGTACTGTGGTATAATCTAAGTGTACTGTGGTATAATCTAAGTGTACTGTGGTATAATCTAAGTGTAGTGTGCTATAATCTAAGTGTAGTGTGGTATAATCTAAGTGTACTGTGGTGTAATCTAAGTGTAGTGTGCTATAATCTAAGTGTAGTGTGCTATAATCTAAGTGTACTGTGGTATAATCTAAGTGTACTGTGGTATAATCTAAGTGTACTGTGCTATAATCTAAGTGTACTGTGCTATAATCTAAGTGTACTGTGCTATAATCTAAGTGTACTGTGGTATAATCTAAGTGTACTGTGGTATAATCTAAGTGTACTGTGGTATAATCTAAGTGTACTGTGCTATAATCTAAGTGTACTGTGCTATAATCTAAGTGTACTGTGCTATAATCTAAGTGTACTGTGCTATAATCTAAGTGTACTGTGGTATAATCTAAGTGTACTGTGGTATAATCTAAGTGTAGTGTGCTATAATCTAAGTGTACTGTGGTATAATCTAAGTGTACTGTGGTATAATCTAAGTGTAGTGTGCTATAATCTAAGTGTACTGTGGTATAATCTAAGTGTAGTGTGCTATAATCTAAGTGTACTGTGGTATAATCTAAGTGTACTGTGGTATAATCTAAGTGTACTGTGGTATAATCTAAGTGTACTGTGGTATAATCTAAGTGTACTGTGGTATAATCTAAGTGTAGTGTGCTATAATCTAAGTGTACTGTGGTATAATCTAAGTGTACTGTGGTATAATCTAAGTGTAGTGTGCTATAATCTAAGTGTAGTGTGCTATAATCTAAGTGTACTGTGCTATAATCTAAGTGTAGTGTGCTATAATCTAAGTGTACTGTGGTATAATCTAAGTGTACTGTGGTATAATCTAAGTGTAGTGTGCTATAATCTAAGTGTACTGTGGTATAATCTAAGTGTACTGTGGTATAATCTAAGTGTACTGTGGTATAATCTAAGTGTAGTGTGCTATAATCTAAGTGTACTGTGGTATAATCTAAGTGTACTGTGCTATAATCTAAGTGTACTGTGCTATAATCTAAGTGTACTGTGGTATAATCTAAGTGTACTGTGGTATAATCTAAGTGTAGTGTGGTATAATCTAAGTGTACTGTGCTATAATCTAAGTGTACTGTGCTATAATCTAAGTGTACTGTGGTATAATCTAAGTGTACTGTGGTATAATCTAAGTGTACTGTGGTATAATCTAAGTGTACTGTGGTATAATCTAAGTGTAGTGTGGTATAATCTAAGTGTAGTGTGGTATAATCTAAGTGTAGTGTGCTATAATCTAAGTGTACTGTGGTATAATCTAAGTGTAGTGTGGTATAATCTAAGTGTAGTGTGGTATAATCTAAGTGTAGTGTGCTATAATCTAAGTGTACTGTGGTATAATCTAAGTGTAGTGTGGTATAATCTAAGTGTACTGTGGTATAATCTAAGTGTACTGTGCTATAATCTAAGTGTACTGTGTACTGTGCTATAATCTAAGTGTACTGTGCTATAATCTAAGTGTACTGTGGTATAATCTAAGTGTACTGTGGTATAATCTAAGTGTAGTTTTGGTATAATCTAAGTGTAGTTTTGGTATAATCTAAGTGTAGTTTTGGTATAATCTAAGTGTAGTGTGCTATAATCTAAGTGTACTGTGCTATAATCTAAGTGTACTGTGGTATAATCTAAGTGTACTGTGGTATAATCTAAGTGTAGTGTGCTATAATCTAAGTGTACTGTGGTATAATCTAAGTGTAGTGTGCTATAATCTAAGTGTACTGTGGTATAATCTAAGTGTAGTGTGCTATAATCTAAGTGTACTGTGGTATAATCTAAGTGTAGTGTGCTATAATCTAAGTGTACTGTGGTATAATCTAAGTGTAGTGTGCTATAATCTAAGTGTACTGTGGTATAATCTAAGTGTAGTGTGCTATAATCTAAGTGTACTGTGGTATAATCTAAGTGTAGTGTGCTATAATCTAAGTGTACTGTGGTATAATCTAAGTGTAGTGTGCTATAATCTAAGTGTACTGTGGTATAATCTAAGTGTACTGTGTACTGTGCTATAATTTAAGTGTACTGTGTACTGTGCTATAATCTAAGTGTACTGTGTACTGTGCTATAATCTAAGTGTACTGTGTACTGTGCTATAATTTAAGTGTACTGTGTACTGTGCTATAATCTAAGTGTACTGTGTACTGTGCTATAATCTAAGTGTACTGTGTACTGTGCTATAATCTAAGTGTACAAGTGTACTGTGCTATAATCTAAGTGTACTGTGTGCTGTGCTATAATCTAAGTGTACTGTGTACTGTGCTATAATCTAAGTGTACAAGTGTACTGTGCTATAATCTAAGTGTACTGTGTGCTGTGCTATAATCTAAGTGTACTGTGTACTGTGCTATAATCTAAGTGTACTGTGCTATAATCTAAGTGTACTGTGCTATAATCTATGTGTACTGTGCTATAATCTAAGTGTACTGTGTTCTGTGCTATAATCTAAGTGTACTGTGGTATAATCTAAGTGTACTGTGTACTGTGCTATAATCTAAGTGTACTGTGCTATAATCTAAGTGTACTGTGCTATAATCTATGTGTACTGTGCTATAATCTAAGTGTACTGTGTTCTGTGCTATAATCTAAGTGTACTGTGCTATAATCTAAGTGTACTGTGTACTGTGCTATAATCTAAGTGTACTGTGTACTGTGCTATAATCTAAGTGTACTGTGTACTGTGCTATAATCTAAGTGTACTGTGCTATAATCTAAGTGTACTGTGCTATAATCTATGTGTACTGTGCTATAATCTAAGTGTACTGTGCTATAATCTAAGTGTACTGTGCTATAATCTATGTGTACTGTGCTATAATCTAAGTGTACTGTGTTCTGTGCTATAATCTAAGTGTACTGTGCTATAATCTAAGTGTACTGTGTTCTGTGCTATAATCTAAGTGTACTGTGCTATAATCTAAGTGTACTGTGTACTGTGCTATAATCTAAGTGTACTGTGCTATAATCTAAGTGTACTTTGGTATAATCTAAGTGTACTGTGCTATAATCTAAGTGTACTGTGCTATAATCTAAGTGTACTGTGCTATAATCTAAGTGTACAGTGTACTGTGCTATAATCTAAGTGTACTGTGCTATAATCTAAGTGTACTGTGTACTGTGCTATAATCTAAGTGTACTGTGTACTGTGGTATAATCTAAGTGTACTGACGTGCACCAGGTGGAACCCTCGTACAAGTTCTTCAGGTTAGGTGAGAAGGAGCTTGTGACGGCTGTCGTACACTTGTTGAAGGCGGGACACCTCAGGAGCTTGGGGTTGTTGTAGACTGGGGGGTGGGGGAAGGAGAGGGGATGGACATGTAGTGAAACAAATCTCAAGAAAAATACAAGTCTCATATATTTTAAAGAACAAAACGACCAACCTGACTGTACATAAATAAAACTGTTGTAAATAATGACATGATAACTAATCAAGGATGTATTTGTTCTTAAATAAAGGGCGGTACAATATCTACTCTGTTTAAACTTTTTAAAACAACAGTTCAGAATGTTATTTAATGTTATACAAACGTATAGCTGCATAACACGCCGTATTTCAACATTGTCTTAAAAATCAAACACTTGGAAATGTAAAGATAAGGACCAACTTTTATCGCAGTAGCCCTGCATTATGTAAAGATAAGGACCAACTTTTATCACAGTAACCTCCCTGCATTATGTAAAGATAAGGACCAACTTTTATTATAGTAACCTCCCTGCATTATGTAAAGATAAGGACCAACTTTTATCATAGTAACCTCCCTGCATTATGTAAAGATAAGGACCAACTTTTATCACAGTAGCCTCCCTGCATTATGTAAAGATAAGGACCAACTTTTATCGCAGTAGCCCTGCATTATGTAAAGATAAGGACCAACTTTTATCACAGTAACCTCCCTGCATTATGTAAAGATAAGGACCAACTTTTATCACAGTAGCCCTGCATTATGTAAAGATAAGGACCAACTTTTATCACAGTAACCTCCCTGCATTATGTAAAGATAAGGACCAACTTTTATCACAGTAGCCCTGCATTATGTAAAGATAAGGACCAACTTTTATCACAGTAACCTCCCTGCATTATGTAAAGATAAGGACCAACTTTTATCACAGTAGCTGCCTGTATTATGTAAAGATAAGGACCAACTTTTATCACAGTAACCTCCCTGCATTATGTAAAGATAAGGACCAACTTTTATTATAGTAACCTCCCTGCATTATGTAAAGATAAGGACCAACTTTTATCATAGTAACCTCCCTGCATTATGTAAAGATAAGGACCAACTTTTATCACAGTAGCCTCCCTGCATTATGTAAAGATAAGGACCAACTTTTATCGCAGTAGCCCTGCATTATGTAAAGATAAGGACCAACTTTTATCACAGTAACCTCCCTGCATTATGTAAAGATAAGGACCAACTTTTATCACAGTAGCCCTGCATTATGTAAAGATAAGGACCAACTTTTATCACAGTAACCTCCCTGCATTATGTAAAGATAAGGACCAACTTTTATCACAGTAACCTCCCTGCATTATGTAAAGATAAGGACCAACTTTTATCACAGTAGCCCTGCATTATGTAAAGATAAGGACCAACTTTTATCACAGTAACCTCCCTGCATTATGTAAAGATAAGGACCAACTTTTATCACAGTAGCTGCCTGTATTATGTAAAGATAAGGACCAACTTTTATCACAGTAACCTCCCTGCATTATGTAAAGATAAGGACCAACTTTTATCTCAGTAGCCTGCATTATGTAAAGATAAGGACCAACGTTTATCACAGTAACCTCCCTGCATTATGTAAAGATAAGGACCAACTTTTATCACAGTAGCCCTGCATAAGCTTGTCCAGAGAACCAAATTCCACCTCTGTGATAGACTGCGGCAGTTGACATGTATCCAGGCTGTTGGACATGCACTTGAAGTAGCCACGGAGTGCCCTGTGGTACAGAGGACGTCATTAGTTGCTGGATCACGTGAAAACTACCCACACACCAATTTCAGATCTACCCACATTCAAGGTCAGTCCTACCCACACGCTAATGTCAGACCTACCCACACACTAATGTCAGACCTACCCACACACTAATGTCAGACCTACCCACACACCAAGGTCATACCTACCCACACACCAAGGTCATACCTACCCACACACCAAGGTCAGACCTACCCACAAACCGATGTCAGACCTACCCACACACTAACGTCAGACCTACCCACACACTAATGTCAGACCTACCCACACACCAAGGTCATACCTACCCACACACCAAGGTCATACCTACCCACACACCAAGGTCAGACCTACCCACAAACCGATGTCATACCTACCCACACACCAAGGTCAGACCTACCCACACACTAATGTCAGACCTACCCACACACTAACGTCAGACCTACCTACACACTAATGTCAGACCTACCCACATCCAAGGTCAGACCTACCCACACATCCCTGCAAGGTTCGGTCCCCTGGACAGACTAGCGAGCAGGGTGTTGCTACAGAAGGTCACCTGAGTGCACGAGGTCAAACGTAGGATATCTGCAACAAAAAAGTCATTTTAAGATATCTGCAACAAAAAGGTCATTTTAAGATATCTGCAACAAGAAGGTCATTTTAGGATATCTGTAACAAAAAGGTCATTTTAAGATATCTGCAACAAGAAGGTCATTTTAGGATATCTGCAACAAAAAGGTCATTTTAAGATATCTGCAACAAGAAGGTCATTTTAGGATATCTGCAACAAAAAGGTAATTTTAAGATATCTGCAACAAGAAGGTCATTTTAGGATATCTGCAACAAGAAGGTCATTTTAGGATATCTGCAACAAGAAGGTCGTTTTAAGATATCTGCAACAATGTCATTTTAAAATATCTGCAAGAAGAAGGTCATTTTAAGATATTTGCAACAAGGTCATTTTAAGATATCTGCAACAAGGAGGTAATTTTAAGATATCTGCAACAAGAAGGTGATTTTAAGATATCTGCAACAAGAAGGTCATTTAAAGATATTTGCAACAAGAAGGTCATTTTAAGATATCTGCAACAAGAAGATCATTTTAAGATATCTGCAACAAGAAGGTCATTTTAACTACATCAGTTCTCTGCATCACAGGCCTGACATAACCTTGACCTGAGCTAACATGACCTAGCCTTGACCTGACCTACAATGATGACCTACTTGGATGACATTTCTCCCTGTACTGTAGCTTGAGAAGCTGGACCATCTGTAGCTCGACGGTCAACAGCTGACTGCACGTGGGGGAGAGTCGAGACATGCAGGTGGTGTAGCTGTCCAGGGCGCTGAAATATGGGCACATCGTTAGGGTAGGGAACTTGTGGGAACATCTTTAGGGCAGGGAACTCGTGGGAACATTGGCACATCGTTAGGGTAGGGAACTTGTGGGAACATCTTTAGGGAAGGGAACTCGTGGGAACATTGGCACATCGTTAGGGTAGGGAACTTGTGGGAACATCTTTAGGGCAGGGAACTCGTGGGAACATTGGCACATCTTTAGGGCAGGGAACTTGTGTGAACATTGGCACATCGTTAGGGTAGGGAACTTGTGGGAACATCTTTAGGGCAGGGAACTCGTGGGAACATTGGCACATCGTTAGGGTAGGGAACTTGTGGGAACATCTTTAGGGCAGGGAACTCGTGGGAACATTGGCACATCGTTAGGGTAGGGAACTTGTGGGAACATCTTTAGGGCAGGGAACTCGTGGGAACATTGGCACATCTTTAGGGCAGGGAACTTGTGGGAACATGGGCACATCTTTAGGGCAGGGAACTTGTGGGAACATGGGCACATCTTTAGGGCAGGGAACTTGTGGGAACATGGGCACATCTTTAGGGCTGGGAACTTGTGGGAACATGGGCACATCTTTAGGGCAGGGAACTTGTGGGAACATGGGCACATCTTTAGGGCAGGGAACTTGTGGGAACATGGGCACATCTTTAGGGCAGGGAACTTGTGGGAACATGGGCGCATCTTTAGGGCTGGGAACTTGTGGGAACATGGGCACATCTTTAGGGCTGGGAACTTGTGGGAACATGGGCACATCTTTAGGGCTGGGAACTTGTGGGAACATGGGCACATCTTTAGGGCAGGGAACTTGTGGGAACATGGGCACATCTTTAGGGCAGGGAACTTGTGGGAACATGGGCACATCTTTAGGGCAGGGAACGTGTGGGAACATGGGCACATCTTTAGGGCAGGGAACGTGTGGGAACATGGGCACATCTTTAGGGCTGGGAACTTGTGGGAACATGGGCACATCTTTAGGGCAGGGAACTCGTGGGGACATGGGCACATCTTTAGGGCAGGGAACTTGGTGAACATGGGCACATCTTTAGGGCTGGGAACTTGTGGGAACATGGGCACATCTTTAGGGCAGGGAACTCGTGGGGACATGGGCACATCTTTAGGGCAGGGAACTTGTGGGAACATGGGCACATCTTTAGGGCAGGGAACTCGTGGGGACATGGGCACATCTTTAGGGCAGGGAACTCGTGGGAACATGGGCACATCTTTAGGTTAAAGTTGGCTTTGTTTTAATATTAATCACATTTTATTTGTTTATATTAAGTTCCTTTCTTGCCCACTTAAGCCACAAGGACTATATGCTATAACTATGATGCACATAGCAAGTCATTATGCAGCCCCTATGCTGCATCAGTGCCTTCCCTCACCTGCAAACGTTGCTGAGATTTCCCGAGTGAAGGGCAGGGAAATAACTCGTGTTGAAGACAGAAGAGCAGGACCGGTAACTCTCAACACACTTCATGGCTGACTCCCCATTATCTAACAGAAGAATGTGGAGTAAAAAGTACTAAAACTTGTATTTACTAGTACCTAAAACTTGTAATGAGTCATTAGGTTGATGAGCTTACCCTTCCCACAGTACAGGTACTGTTTCTTGAGTTGCTGGACGTTGGCCTGGTACTGTGACGCGAACTGTGAGCAACCAGCCTCAGTACTCACTGCCAGCATGCATGACGTGTAGTTCTCGAAAGCCCTAGCGACAAGGGGTGCTATTATGTTTACATTAAGCTCACATACATCAACCCTATCTCTATAATTTAGCTCCACGTGAAATAAGATAAATCTGTATTGAGTTGAACTGGCTTAGCGAAAAGTTAAAGAGAGGTAAACAGAAAGAGTATCGACGGCTTCTTAAGATCATCGGCCCACATGACCTTTGCCCATCCCTATAACCTTGACCTACCCGCATGTGACCTTGACATTGGCTGCACCAGCTTGTGGTGTAACTGACGAGTGAAACAAGTGCTGGTAGCACTTGATGGTCTTGTTGGTGCACTCGATCATCTTGTAGGCGTTCACTTGGGCGTCTTAAAGTAGAACAATGTTTAGTTATTTAAAAACAGACAACTACAGCTGAGTGATGTCACGTGTAACGTCATAGTCTCCAGTCATACAGCCATAGAATAAAGGCATACAGCCATAAACTGCATTTTAACAGCTAAAGTCACCAACTATAGAGTCACAATCTCCAGTTTAATTAACAGCCAACGTTTCCAGCCATACAGACATGACCTACAGCTAGAGTCTTCAGCCTACAGCCATGGCCTTGCGCCATAAAGTCATAGTATGGAGCCATAGATCCATGGCCTGTAGCTATGCCGCCAATGTCTGCATCTATACAGCTAAAATCTACCCACCTTCCGAGCGAATAGCCCTGTGTTGTTGCTGCAGCCATACAGCTATACTACATCCACCAGCAGCCATAAAGCTATAGACTACCCACCTTCCGAGCACATAGCCCTGTGCTGTAGTTGCATGCTTGAGACGATATTTTTAGGCACAAGATGGCCGCACTCTGAGGACTGGAGCTCTTCATAGCAGTGGGAGAACTGGCTCAACGTTCTGGTGAGTGGGAATCTGAACTTGTCAAATCTTACTTTTGGAAATCTCAACTTGTCAGATCTCACTTTTGGAAATCTGAACTTGTCAGATATCAATTTTGGAAATCTGAACTTGTCAAATCTTATTTTTGGAAATCTGAACTTGTCAAATCTAACTTTTGGAAATCTGAACTTTTCAAATTTAACTTTTGGAAATCTGAACTTGTCAAGTCTAAATTTTGGAAAACTGAACTTGTTAGAAATAACTTAATTGTAATTTAAAAATCTGAACTTGCCAAATGTAACAAGATATTTAAAATCTGAAATCTAACTTAACTGTTAATGTCTGAACTTGTCTAATCAACTTAAAACTTTTCAGATGTATGAGAGACTTACAGACAGATGTATGAGAGACTTACAGACAGATGTATGAGAGACTTACAGACAGATGTATGAGAGACTTACAGACAGATGTATGAGAGACTTACAGACAGATTTATGAGAGACTTACAGACAGATGTATGAGAGACTTACAGACAGATGTATGAGAGACTTACAGACAGATGTATGAGAGACTTACAGACAGATGTATGAGAGACTTACAGACAGATGTATGAGAGACTTACAGACAGATGTATGAGAAACTTACAGACAGATGTATGAGAGACTTACAGACAGATGTTTGAGAGACTTACAGACAGATGTATGAGAGACTTACAGACAGATGTATGAGAGACTTACAGACAGATGTTTGAGAGACTTACAGACAGATGCCGGAAATGTTTGTGGACGCCATGTTTGTTTTGAGCCTGTTGTTGAAGCTGAGGTGACAGGCCTGGACCTTCTGACTGCAGACGATGAGCAGCCTGCCGGAGGTCGGCACCACGCCCGTGTTGGTGGAGAAGGTCAGGCCTGTGGTGCCATGGCTGGTCGGTCTGGACGTGTTTGTGTCGGCCCCTGGGGGGGACACAAGGGGTCGTGATGAGCATCATGGACACGGTCATCATGGGTCTTATACTGACATAGCTAATACATCACCGAATCTTAGTTCTATTCAAGATAAAGCAGTTATAGTTTTGTACTCAACTATAAATGTACACCATCGGTCACGTGATCAGGGAGGGCAGGTGTCACGTGACCCAACTTACCGCACGTGCGGACGTAGTCCGGCAGGATGTACATGTTAAGCATGTTCCTCGTCATCCGGGCATTCTGCTCGTTCGGGCAAACGGAAATGTTCATGGCGTGGTTCAAACACTCTATCTGGTTGGCCACTAGCCTGCAACACACACACACACACAAATTAGCTGAAGTAGCCGGGGGGGGGGGGGGAGTTTAAGTAAACATAAAACAATGATAAAAGACGTAAAATGTACCACTGTAGGTATTGCACTGTAAGATTTGTTTTGTTTTCATACTTGTGTTTTGCAATAAAGAGGAAGTGTGGATTACTTTCTTCTTATTCATCTTTTTCTTTCTTAATTATTATGTTGGGCGGGATTTCATCTAACATAATATAACATAATTAACAAATCATCCGCCATATGGACCATTGACTTGGATTTCTGTTTAGGTTAGTTTCCATGGCTTTTGTCCATCCAGAAACTACATTTCCTAGACGGGTTGCTGTCCCCAGCTATCGAGCCTCATTTAACCCTGGGCTCGAAGTCGGGACTTTTCGATCGAGCAAGCATTATGCTTTACCGGACTATGAAGCGAGAGGGTTAAGAAAGAAAAAACCTTACTGCCCGTCCCCCGCATACACACCCATTATCTGTCATCTGCCTTTTAAAGACAGAACACTTATGAGCCTACATTAAAACATGTATTAGAAAAGTGCATCCATTCCCAGAAACAGGATAACCCCTGATAATGACACCATTTTCTCATGTAATGTGGGATAATTTCTTCTTGTATTTTTCTAATGTTTTAGTGCTGATGGTGTGACTTACTTGCAGAAGTTTGACGTCTGACTTCCGGTGGTGTTCGTACTGTTGGAGTTGAGCTGGTCCATCTCGTGAGCAAACTTCTTGCTGCAGCTTTCATAGCAGGACAGTGTCAGCAGGGGCAGACAGCAGAGTAGTGAGACAGCTGAAATATGAGGGGCAGACAGCATATTAGTGAGACAGCTGAAATATGAGGGGCAGACAGATTAGTGAGACAAGGGGCATACAGATTAGTGAGACAGCTGAAATATGAGGGGCAGACAGCATATTAGTGAGACAGCTGAAATATGAGGGGCAGACAGATTAGTGAGACAAGGGGCATACAGATTAGTGAGACAGCTGAAATATGAGGGGCAGACAGCATATTAGTGAGACAGCTGAAATATGAGGGGCAGACAGATTAGTGAGACAAGGGGCATACAGATTAGTGAGACAGCTGAAATATGAGGGGCAGACAGCATATTAGTGAGACAACTGAAATTTGAGGGTCAGACAGATTAGTGAGACAAGGGGCATACAGATTAGTGAGACAGCTGCTGAAATATGAGGGGCAGACAGATGAGTGAGACAGCTGAAATGTGAGGGGCAGACAGATTAGTGAGACAGGTGCTGAAATATGAGGGGCAGACAGATTAGTGAGACAGGTGCTGAAATATGAGGGGCAGACAGATTAGTGAGACAGCTGCTGAAATATGAGGGGCAGGCAGATTAGTGAAACAGCTGAAATATGAGGGGCAGACAAATTAGTGAGACAAGGGGCAGACAGATTAGTGAGAAAAGGGGCAGACAGATTAGTGAGAAAAAGGGCAGACAGATTAGTGAGACAAGGGCAGAGAGATTAGTGAGACAATGGTAGACAGATTAGTGAGACAAGGGCAGACAGATTAGTGAGACAGCTGAAATATGAGGAAAAGACATATTAGTGAGACTAGGGGCAGACAGATTAGTGAGACAGCTGAAATATGAGGGGCAGACAGATTAGTGAGACAAGAGGCAGACAGATTAGTGAGACAGATGCTGAAATATGAGGGGCAGACAGATTAGTGAGACTATGGGCAGACAGATTAGTGAGACAGATGCTGAAATATGAGGGGCAGACAGATGAGTGAGACAACTGAAATTTGAGGGGCAGACAAATTAGTGAGACAAGGGGCAGACAGATGAGTTAGACAAGGGGCAGACAAATTAGTGAGACAAGGGGGAGACAGATTAGTGAGACAGCTAAAATATGAGCGACAGAGATGAGTGAGACAAGGGGCAGACAGATTAGTGATAACAGATGACAAGGACGGCTAGTAGAGTAGTACTGCAGGTATGTAGATTTAATAGCGTAAAGATATGTAAATAGCGAGACCTAACTGAGAAAAAAAGGCAAGGACGAAAATGTATGTTAATCTATTCAATAGCCGGACAGAATCAGGTCTTGTATATAAAGCTCAAGTGAGGATACATTCTACTGTACAGATGAAAAAAGAGTTTTTTTTTGTTTTTAAGTTTTGAAAAAGAAACAAAAACCATATAAAGTTTGAATCAAGTTCGAGTTTTGTTTTGTAAATGTTAACGAATAAAAAAAACACCACTGTCCCGCCTTGTTGACCAGAAAGTGTCCCGGATGTTGATGTTTGCTTACGTCCCCTGTCCCAGTTGAATAAATTATTATATACGTCATCACTGGCAGAATCGTGTCAGAAGTATGACAAGCGATAAAATTTGTGAGCTAACACTGAACACTACATCAGAAGTATGACAAGCGATAAAATTTGTGAGCTAACACTGAACACTACATCAGAAGTATGACAAGCGATAAAATTTGTGAGCTAACACTGAACACTACATCAGAAGTATGACAAGCGATAAAATTTGTGAGCTAACACTGAACACTACATCAGAAGTATGACAAGCGATAAAATTTGTGAGCTAACACTGAACACTACATCAGAAGTATGACAAGCGATAAAATTTGTGAGCTAACACTGAACACTACATCAGAATTATGACAAGCGATAAAATTTGTGAGCTAACACTGAACACTACATCAGAAGTATGACAAGCGATAAAATTTGTGAGCTAACACTGAACACTACATCAGAAGTATGACAAGCGATAAAATTTGTGAGCTAACACTGAACACTGCACAACACGGAGGCATGGGGTGAGGATGGGGGTGGGGATGGGGGGGGGGGGTAATCATCTTACCCAATAGTGTTTGTGTTTGGGGGAAGGGAGTCAACTTACCCAGTAGTGTGTGTGTGGGTGGGGGGGGGTCAACTTACCTAGTAGGTTAGCGCCAATCATGGCGTCGAGGGAAGTGATTTATCTGAAAATAAATGTTTAAAACACATTTAATTTGAATCTGTATGCTACAATTTATACACCGCTTTACGACTGCTTCACGTGAATATAACAAGGGTAAGACCCTTTAAATTACCTACAGCTTAAAGTTTGTTGGTCAACTATACCTATTGGTCAAGTACATCTACATATGGGTGTCACTTAAACAACAATAACGTGTTTGTGACATAAATGTCAGGTGTAAATGTCATGCTAGGCCTGACGACTCAGATGTGGTTCTGAACGGTTAGGTGGTTTGACCATTTTTGGTTCAATCATTGGTGGTTTGACCATAGGTGGTTCGACCATAGGTTGTTTGATCATAGGTGGTTTGACCATAGGTGGTTTGGGTACATCAAGGGTTTGACCCAAGGGGATTTTGTCAATAAAGTGGTTGTCTGCATGCAGTTTTCATAATAATTACCGTAAAGTGTTATTTAGTGTCTGAAATTATGGGATGGTTCAATTAATAAAATAACACATTTTCTTTAACTCTAAGTCTCTAAGGGAATGTTAAAGGTATCAAACACGACAATAGAAGGTTACTCCAACCAAATGTTTCGATGTTTTTATAAAATAACATTAATCCTAAACATGTTTAAAGTGTAGCTGTTTTCTAGTATTTTAATTAAATGACACTACCATGACATTTGCTGTAAATACCATGAATGTTGAGAACTGTATTTGGTGCATAAAGTACGAGGTCAATGACCTCTGAGTATCCCATCTTGTGTATGTGGGGCTGGCCTAGTTCAGCTTGACACAACCATACATCACGTCTGACACATGACATCAGCTTGTATGTCAGTCACTGTCACCTGACATCTGACACTAGCATAAGTATCTTCAACTTGCAATAGAACGGTACTAGCTATAAAACCTAACTGTAGTCGCTACCAGAACCAACACAGGCACTCAGTGCCAGCTAACGACCAGCACCGCTCACAGGACTAAGACAAAAGTCCATCCAATATTTTATATGTGACAATACAAACTACATTGTGATGTTGTTGTAGGATTTTTCTTGGTGTTTTTAATAGTTTTGGTAACTAAAAACAATTTTAAAACAAAGACCAAAATCAATTTAGTTTTTACATGGTACTGTTGACAAATGAAGCGTAACTATGTCACTCTGACGTTCGAAAGTAGAAGTTAATTAAAATATTTACCGGGAAATTTTGCGTAAAAAATGGGTTCTACAAAATGAAACTACAAAATAAAACTACAAAATTGTTTAGCTGATGTTATCAAATAGAAATGTAATCTTAAAGGCAAGAAAATATTTCAATTTACTGCATTTCAAACATTACAATTAACAGAAAATATTAAATTACACAATTTTTCAGCATTTGTTTTATATTTAACGACGAATTTTAAGTCAACTTTGATGAAAAAACCACGGTTTTAGTTTCTACCTACAACAGTGAACAATTTATGATACATTGACAAAAATCCCGATACTCGCTCAAATCATTGGATAGGGTTTCCGTTAAAATTGGTTTAATTAGCTATGTAGTAGTTTAGTAAATGTAATATATATCTGTTAATCTTTAAATATCCCAATACATTGTACCTAGTGCGTCACAGTTTTTGACTTCCCCATCCTCCACCCAGTACATCTTATGACCCCCCTCCCTCCCTCCTCCTCTTGTAGTTTCATGACGTCACTTCTGTACGAACCCTTTGTTGACTGACGTACCAGTATAGTACATTTTGCTGAGGTTTCAAGTCTAGGCCAGGAGCCCGTAGACTTCCTGATGTGTGAATCTACCACATTAGTTATCGGATGAAGGACAGCAAGGTGGTGGTAGTGGTGGGGGGGGGGGGGGGGGCGGCACCACGTTAAACCAGCTAATTGGGTCAAGTGTGTTCGTGTCTTCTTTAAATCTTCAGCTTTTAATTATAAATAATGAAACAAAGTGACCATTTGTCAGTGTCGCTTGTTAAGCCCCCAATGCTTGTATGTGGAAGTGATTGTTTAGATGGGCTCTCGTGTAAAGCCCCCAATGCTTGTATGTGGAAGTGATTGTTTAGATGGGCTCTCGTGTAAAGCCCCCAATGCTTGTATGTGGAAGTGATTGTTTAGATGGGCTCTCGTGTAAAGCCAGCCAATGATTGTATGTGGCACTGATTGTTTGGATGGGCTCTTGTGCCTAGTTTGTAGTGAATACGTGGTGAGTTTAAGATAAGAAAACAATTCTAAACCAGAGTTTCTTCCAGGCATCTCTTCAGGGGGGGGGTGGGCGGCCAAGCCCCTCCCCCCCGAAAAAATTCTACCGCCCCCCCCCCCCCCCCCCGAACGAAATGAAATTTATATAATTTATATAGAAAATATATACTTTTAACAGTGTCCGCCCCCCCTCCTTCCGAAGAAAGTCTACCCCCCCCCCCAAAAAAAAATATTTCAAGTGCCCCCCCCCCCCCCCCCCGGAGAAAAAAGTCTGGAAGAAACTCTAAACTCTCAGATAGATACACAATCCCTAACTTCTGTTATAACCACAGCCGAGCCCGGTTGTATAGACTTCTATTGTAAATATGGTATTCTGGGTTATGTATACTAAAGTGTCATTTTGCTCTTTACGTCAATTCGAAGAAAAAATGTATATCCCAAAAAGATAAATGTCAATTTTTAGATAACAGCATCAAACGATCGTCATATTCTCCTACAGTATATAGGTTGGTGATTAATTAAAGGTTTCGTTAACAAACCTCATACCATATTCACGCGACTTCGTTCGATGGTTCTATTACAGAAAAACTATATTCATCATATTCGTGCATACAGTTATATTCTGAGTAGGTACCACTTCATCATTTCAAAGTTTTACACTTATTGGGGAAAATATTGAATGATTTTTTTTACGAAATCGATTTTTAAAACTGTTTTGGACAGTTTATTTAATGAAAAAAAAAATGTTTTTGTTATAAATTATGTGACACGGTGTCGAAGATAATAACGTCACACTCTTAAAGGGGGGGGGGGGGTTGAACGTGTTTGACGTCACGCGTTTGAATTTTGGTGTGTGTTGCTTGAAATTGAATTCTAACAGTTATTTCAAATTTCAGAATTTTTATCTCTTATAAATTCTATTCTAAGATAAAATCAGTATTGAGTATTTTCTGCCAGTGTACTTAGCTCGATATGAAGTACAAAGTCCTGTTTTTTTTTTTTTACTCCTGTCTTTTTCTGTCATCTATTGCAAAAACAAGGTTTTGGATGTTCGCCTTCATCTCTAAATCCTGTGGTGTTGGTGTGTCACATAATATCGCTGATATGTACACTAGATGCCATCTCCATGACATTTATTGATGTCTGTGTGACATTTGTGATGTATGTGGTTGCTTGTTATCTAAGACAGGTAAAAGCCTGCCTGAAACCTGCCTGTAAACGTTACGTCATCACTCCATGCAGGTACCTGCCAGACCTGATCAATAAACCTACAGGTTTGTGACGTGTTTTTGTACGTCATAGTGACGTCTTGCCCCCATAGCATGCACGACTGGTTGCGCAAGTGCTATTTTGGAGAAGATATTTTTACACCGCGATGGCAAACCATTAGTCGTCAGGCCTAGTCCCAAGGTCACGTGTCTTAAGGCCTAGTCCCAAGGTCACGTGTCTCCCGACAGAAACAACGGACGACGTCAGACGTCAATCAAACACCGAGCACGGGGAACAGACGACCAAGTCACGTGGTCATGTAGGAACGTTTCTCTCTAGCTAAGTTTAGCCAAGAGGGTCAAAGGTTACCATCTGCCTCCTATTTTCTCTTAAATCCACCCACCTACTCCCACCTCTTCCCTTCTCCTACCATCATCTACCATCTCTCGTCAATCCTTACAATTACTACAGTCACGTACCATCACGTACCATCACGTACCATCACGTACCTTCTACGTCACCACTTACCATCTCTTACATTTACTTACCATCACCAATATTCTCCTACCATCAACTACCATCTTGTATTGTGACAAAAATTAATATATTTTCAGCCTTTCTATTTTCTGACCGTTAGCGTTTTAGCGTCGCCGAGGCAGAGATAGGTTGTAGATTTGGGGCCAAGGGTTAAGGATAGTGTTAGGAACATGGTTCTAGTAAGGGTAACGAAGCAAGCTCCCATCAAGTTTTATATAGGGCGCTAAATAAATGATATTTTTTTTTTGTAATATTGTTTTTTTAATGAAAAGAATTAATTTAAAAAATTGATGGAATATGACCAAAATATAAAAGAATTAATTAAGAATGAAAATATCAGCTTACTATTTAGACGTCAAATATTAGATTGACGTATAACACCGTCAGAAGATGGTGCCCCGGGGAGCCGGTTAGGATACTCCGTTGTCCTGATAGTTGGCGCTCCTGAAATTGGCTGTGGTTTATGCCGGAGCCGGTTCAATGGTATTCCAACAGCCGGTAATGTCCTAAAGCCGGTATGCTGGTAATGTCCTAAAGCCGGTATGCTGGTAATGTCCTAAGGCCAGTATACCAAGAATGTCCTAAAGCCGGTATGCCGGTAATGTCCTAGAGTCGGTGGTCCTAAAGCCGGATGGTGTTTACCGTCTAAGAAGCGCGAGGAAGACACCACAACCTTACCTGTCTGTCCACGGGAAAGTTTTGTCATACTGGGCCCTCTGTCCCTGGTGTAATATGTCAGGGGGTGGGGCCAAGGGGGGGGGGGGGGTTGTCAGACTGACTTGATATACTGGTGTAATATGTCAGGGGGTGGGGCCAGGGGGGGGGTTGTCATTCTGACTTGATATACTGGTGTAATATGTCAGGGGGTGGGGCCAGGGGAGGGGGGGTGGGTTGTCAGACTGACTTGATATACTGGTGTAATATGTCAGGGGGTGGGGCCAGGGGGGGGGTTGTCAGACTGACTTGATATACTGGTGTGTTCTGGTTCAGAAGGTTGTCACGTTGTGGGAAGTTGTGGGAGGGGAGGGGGTGGAGGCTTTAAATTATTCTCGGTGTTGGACATTAACTTGGGCCATAGCCATGTGTGTGTGTGGACAGTTGGGCGTTTGTGTGTGAAAGCTTGTAGGTGCTTGTGTTGAGACATTCTTCATCTGTTTGTGTGTGTAAAATGTGCAAGTTTGTGCATACATATTGCGCCAACACTGTGGGTGGGAGGTGTGTGTTTGTGTTTGTGTGCGTATATTTGGATATCATTGAGAGACAAGTGTTCTCGAGGCAGTAGGGCGACATCTATGTAGATGACGTCATTACACAACTCTGATCTGCTTAAAGCCATTCTTAGTTTAGATGCTATAGTGAAAGAAGGGGTGGGACGGAAAAGGGGGGGGGGAGGAATGACAGGATGCGAGTAGAGTGGTGAGAGAAAAACAGGATTGTAAAACTAAATTTTTACGTCTCCTGAATGTTATAACACATCAACATTTTGTCAAAACCTCCATGTAGATTTTCGCACGATTACAGCGCATTTTCATTATTTTGTGTATGATAAAGTGGGGAAGTGGAAGAAGGCAACACATTTCAAATATAACTTAATTTTTACGCAGGACTACAATACCTTATCCATACTCTGTTTACAAGAAAGTAAAAGTAAAAAAAAAAGTTTAATTCTTTTTCATATCGCTTTGTGTGGTGTCTAGAAATATAAAAATTAAAACAAGTATAAAAACAAGGTGTAATAATAAAATTCTTTTACTGACGAAAGGCTTTTCCCCTTCTTATTTTAAGCGCATTTAAAATTTCTTTAATATACAGGATTTTTTTTAATAATTAAGAAGTTTAAATCTTTTAATATATAGTGGGCCTCTGGAATACCTTTGTGACTTTTCTTGCTTGGGTCCTTAGGACTCGTCCAGAAATGACGTCACACTCGTAGAGGGGAGGGGTATCCGTAATTTTGTGAGGGTGTGTGATGAGGGGGAGGGGGTCACACTTTTGCATCATAAAAAGCAATGTTAGAAAACGAGTTTTCGCCGTTATTTCGCGTTTCAGATAACTGTTTTGATAAATTGTAATAAGAATTGATTAAAATACTCTATGGTGACAAAGACAAGATTTTGAAAAATTATCGATGTATTAAGAAAACTTCAACTGCAATTTTGAGGGGGGGGGGGGGTGTGGGCTGAGTGTGACCTCATGTTGGGGAGGGGGGGGGGGTCTAGCTTTTTGTGAAGATGTGTGACGAAGGGGAGCGGGGGAGGTAAAATCGTCCAAAAAAGCGTGACATCATATATGGGTGACCCCATTGTAACAGTAACAATAAAAAAGAATCATTGAATACACCACTACATGCGATTTTATTTTTTATTGTGTTGATGTTTACACTACAATTAAACTTTAGACATGTAATGTGTGATAAACATTGGCGTTTTTTGTGATAAACATTGGCGTTTCTCCTTGTGTAACTACGTGTTGTGAACATTTGATATTTGTCTGATTTGATTGTATGGGCGTTTTTCCTTGTGTAACTGCGTGTTTTGAACATTTGATGTTTGCCAGATGTGATTGTATGGGCATTTTTTCTTGTGTAACTACGTGTTGTAAACATTGATGTTTGCCAGATTTGATTGTATGGGCGTTTCTCCTTGTGTAACTACGTGTTGTAAACATTGATGTTTGCCAGATTTGATTGTATGGGCGTTTCTCCTTGTGTAACTGCGTGTTGTGAACATTGATGTTTGCCAGATTTGATTGTATGGGCGTTTCTCCTTGTGTAACTGCGTGTTGTGAACATTGATGTTTGCCAGATTTGATTGTATGGGCGTTTCTCCTTGTGTAACTACGTGTTGTAAACATTGATGTTTGCCAGATTTGATTGTATGGGCGTTTCTCCTTGTGTAACTGCGTGTTGTGAACATTGATGTTTGCCAGATTTGATTGTATAATGATACCTCGTCAACACAGCTGCTGCGACTACACCTGAACATTCTTGACGTTCCGTAATTAACACAACCATGACTTGCAACCACCAATTTCAGACAGTCAATTAGTGATCTTGTACCTTCTTTTTTTTCTAATATTGTGTTTTATTTGATTAATATAAAAACATGTGTATGGAATGTGATTTTATATAATAAAACAAAAACATTTGAACAGTAAATTAGTTACGTGTTTTTTTAGCAGACTTTCAAAGATGAATGTTTTTATTTGTAGATACACTTGGGTAAATAAACATATAGCAAATAATTCATATACACTTACTTAATTTCACAACCAAATTTGTGTAGACAAAAATATAAACATTTTCTCTAACTATGGATCAGACACCAAAATTTTTGGAAAAGAACCAGTTAAAACAGTTTCAAATGTGATCCTCAAATTCCTGACGACGGTCACAGTTTTGGTGACCAATACCAGTTGAACAGGTACTTCACTAGTTCTGCCATCTCTACCAGTTATCCACCCTTATGATTATCCCCACTGTTTCACCACCAGTTATCCACCTTTATGATTATCCCACCTATTTCACCACCAGTTATCCACCCTTATGATTATCCCCCCTGTTTGTATCTGCTCCGACAAGTATCCACAACGTTCACATGCGAGTCATCATAAAACACAAGAACGACGTGAACCAGGTGTCCCGTAGACTCACGTCCTTGTTGTTCAAGGTGGCCACACACTCGTGTCGGATGGGGTGACTGGCAATACCTAGCATGATGGCCACCTCAAATCCGATTTCCTCTTGACGGTTGAGTCCTAACACGTTTACTGACAAGGTTTCCAACTTGTGACATCTATGACAGAAGCAGTTTGGTCGGGTTATTATATATATATATATATATATATATATATATATATATATATATATATATATATATATATATATATATATATATATATATATATATATATATTGATTGTAAAAGAGCTACCCGAGCCAGGTCCTATTGAGTTCAACAAAGAGGCAGCCAGTTAACTCGAGTGTAGGGATACCGTGTAGGCCAATCAAGCACTCTATGACGGTAAAACTGTAGTAGTATACACTTTTTATAATTTGCGAGGTCCAAATTGCTGACTGACTACAGTTTTTAAGATGTTAGGACGATAGGCTGTAGGATGATATAACTAGAAAGGTAGGACGATAGACTGTAGGATAATATGACTAGAAAGGTAGGACGATAGACTGTAGGATAATATGACTAGAAAGGTAGGACGATAGACTGTAGGATAATATGACTAGAAAGGTAGGACGATAGACTGTAGGATAATATGACTAGAAAGGTAGGACGATAGACTGTAGGATAATATGACTAGAAAGGTAGGACGATAGACTGTAGGATAATATGACTAGAAAGGTAGGACGATAGACTGTAGGATAATATGACTAGAAAGGTAGGACGATAGACTGTAGGATAATATGACTAGAAAGGTAGGACGATAGACTGTAGGATAATATGACTAGAAAGGTAGGACGATAGACTGTAGGATAATATGACTAGAAAGGTAGGAGTGTAGACATTTCGAATACTCTAAGACTGAAATATTGCAGGACAGTAGGACTGTCGGACTTAGGACTAGGACAGTAGCTCGCTATGTCTATACTGATAGCTTTTGGGATAGCAAAATAGTAGGACTACAATCCCTTTTGTGATAGCAAAATAGTACGACTACAGATACGTTATGGATAGCAAAACAGTAGGACTACAGTTACGTTATGGATAGCAAAACAGTAGGACTAGAGTCCCTTTTGGGATAGCAAAACAGTAGGACTACAGTTACGTATGGATAGCAAAACAGTAGGACTAGAGTCCCTTTTGGGATAGCAAAACAGTAGGAATACAGTCCCTACGTCACACTTACCTTTTAATAAGGACTCTCAGCATACCTTCATCTCGAAAATTGGCGAAATCAAGGCGGAGATGACGTAACGAGTTCTGTAAAAATGTAAACAAACTGTCACATGTCCGGTAACCAGTTCTGTACAACAGTCTTCACCTCTAATTAACACGTCAAAACTTAATATCACCACATGCGCATCGTCTATACAGTCTATAGAAAGAAAATGATGTTCGTACGATTCATATGTTAAAATTAAATGTCACTAATACGTTAAGATAACACAATCCACGTAATTCAATCCAATCCCACATTTCACCATCGCTTCCATTATATCAAACCCAGACCAAAGTCAAGAAAATCAATGTCCATGGCCGTATAAAGTAATCGTTTGCCATGTTGACGCCGGGTATTTTGGGCTATCAGCCCAATTCAGGAGACATTGGCCAGTGTCAATGTTTGGTAGGTTTCTATATTTTCATGTTTTACACTGATTACTAGTGTGGCTTCCGTTTGATTTGTGGATTTAAAGTGTGTCTTCTTTCTCCCGTCAAGACCTTAGTCTAGTTGGATTAGCATGGATATCTGGCCCAAATTTCATACACATCCGATTCAAATGACATACACATCCGGTCCTAACAAAGTTTCTTCCAGGCATTTCTTCCGAGGGGGGGGGGGCGGAGAAAGTCTACCCCCCTTCCCCGAACGAAATAGATTTATATAGAAATTATATAATTGTGATAGTGTCCCCCCCCCCCCCCAAATTTTAGTCCGCCCCCCCCCCGAAAATTTCAAGTGCCTCGCCCCCCTGTCTGTCTGAAAGAAACACTGGGTCCAAAAGACATACTATCCGGTCCAACGGACGTACTGGCCCGGTGCTGAGGACATACACAGCTAGCCATTTATACACATCCGGCCAAGATGGCGTAAGGCCGACTAACTTAGCACACGGCTAAAGATGTATCCACGCTATGGGAGCCGCATAATGTTGATATTCTACCATAATACACAGCGTGTTGTGGGAGATTTCAGGTGTTTCGTAAAGCGACGAACCTCAAAGAAGATGGCGATATGGTAAAGACTCATTTGTATGTCTTCTTCATCGTGCATCTGGCCACAGACCCAGTGGAGTTGATGGAGTGGCAACGAAGGGTTCAGGAATCGACTCAGTGTACTGACGTACCGCATGCCCTGAGAGAAGCAGAGAGTACCATTGCGTTATATGGCTGGTAGAATTCTAAAGGAAAAAAATACGGAAAAAATGGGTAAATGGATTCATGATAAAACGCCAAGACCAGAGCCGTAGCGAGGGGGTGGGGGATGGGGGGTACATATGCCGACCCTAGGGGGCGCCAAAATGGGTTGAAAAAAAAAATTAAAAGCTCATTTTAGCTGCAGTTTTGGATTATAAATATAAAAGAAATAAACGGGGGTAGGGCGCCAAATTGAAATATATGTCCCCGGGCGCCGGGAAATGTTGCTACTCTCTCAGGCCAAGACAGAAACAATGTGGATCTGTTTATGATAGATGGTCAAGGCATTAACGTTTAATGGATTTGTTGATGAAGAACCGGGGTTTGTTGATGAAGAACCGTGGATTTGTTGATAAAGATCCGTGGATTTGTTGATAAAGAACCGTGGATTTGTTGATAAAGATCCGTGGATTTGTTGATAAAGAACCGTGGATTTGTTGATAAAGAACCGTGGATTTATTGATAAAGAGCCGTGGATTTGTAGATAAAGAGACGTGGATTTGTTTATAAAGAGCCATGGATTTGTTTAAAAAGAACCTTGGATTTGCTGATGAAGAAACGTAAATGCTTCCTATTAAAACCCGGCTTAAGCCCGCTCGGTGGAATTAAAAAAAAAATATAAACTTGTATGTGAAATAGGTATGAGGTTCTAAGCAGGCTACGTGTGTCTAAAAATATCATTTTAACAATCAAACCAACAGTGGTTTTTGTTAATTGTTTCAGCTCACCATGTTTGATTGGATGAAAACCGCCAGTTTGAGCTGTGGACTAGCGGACGTTAGGCACTGCCATGCTGATTTAGAGGTTAGACGGTCGGCGTGTCCCAGACATTTGGCATGAAGCGACATCTTCTGGAGAGTGTGGCGGGCTGTGATGGCGAGCATGTAGAGCAGCTCGTCCGACACGTAGAAGTAGGAGAGCTGCAAGTCTGGAATACACGGCGTGGGTTAGGTTCTAGTGACAGGGATTACTTCCCTTCATAGATCACCAAATAATATAACTTTCTGTTAAAAAAAAACATTACATCGGGGGAAAAAATAGTTTTGATTACTTTGTTTTGGTCTTGGAAAAATTATTATATATTAGCAAGGATTGATAAAGTGCACATTGTAGGTAAAACACGGATATTTTAAATACTACCTTTTATTTATTTTATATTCTGAACGTATTGTTTACTAATTATTATTTTTAATCAATAACAGTTTAGAAGCCGCTCCTTAATGTCCTCTATGTTTACTTCTATCTTTCGGTTTGCGGACAAGCTGAAGGTATTTCAGCCGTTCACTAAATTGAGCCAGGCACATCCGCCGGCGCCCTGGCAGGGTTTGATTTGGCGCCCTTGGCTATCCTGCGAGCGCTATGGTGCATAAGTTCGTTTTAAACAGGGCGATAAACTTTGGTAAGAGAGGTTACTATAGTCTTTCACTAAATCAAATCCAGCGCGTCCTCCGGCACGCCAACAGGGTGCTATTTAGTGCCTTGGGCCTTCCCGTGAGCGCTATGGCAAATACGTTCGTTTTAAACAGTGCGATAGACTATGAATAAGATTGTGTATTAAAGTTAATTCAAATGATTTCGCCGAAACCACGACGGGGTGCGATTTAGAGCCCTGGGCTATAACTTGAGCACTATGCTTTTATGGTCGCATTTAAGTTTGTGTTTATGTTCTGCGTTATTGTTTGCGTTTGTGTTATATATATATATATATATATATATATATATATATATATATATATATATATATATATATATATATATATATATATATATATATATATATATATATATATATATATATATATATATATAGTAAATATATACATTCTAAAATTTGATTGTAAAAAAAATATACCAGATAGGTTTCCGAATCTGGACATGAAGTAATGGAATCTCGCATTATCGGTGATATCGTTTGGGGTAGTTATGGTGATGAGATCGTTGATGTTGAGGGTGTGGATCGTGTCGTGGCAGCGATGGCTGGCTGCAGCTTCAAGCAGCCGGAGACCTGATGATTCATTAGTTCAGAAAATATTGTATCAAGTAGCCGGTGACCTGATTCATTAGTTCAGAAAACATTTGATCAAGCAGCCGGAGACCTGATACATTAGTTCAGAAAACATTTGATCAAGTAGCCGGACACCTGATTCATTAGTTCAGAAAACATTTGATCAAGTAGCCGGACACCTGATTCATTGTTTCAGAAAACATTTAGTCATTGTTGGTTATGGTAAAACCGGTAGTACGATATTTTTTATATTTATTTTACTGACCTCGGCATTTTGATAATTATTATAGATATCTGTCATCATTCACCTTAATTTTAATAACATTGGACGACATTCACATTAGTTTTAATGGCAGTGTTCAACGTTTACATCAGCTTTACCTTTTTTAATAGATAAGTCAGCGTGGCTGAGATCCAGTACTTGAAGATTTTGCTGGTTTTCTATCAGAAGGGCCAGTTTTTCGACCACCTCCCACTGGTGTACGGCGGATGGTTGCAACAACTTCGTGTTGGTCAAGCTGAGAGTGACCAGTTGCTGGTTGTTAGCGGTCAGCAGGGCTTCGGTAAACTGATACAAAAAAAGTAAGTCAGCGCTGGTTTCTCCAGCCTCCTGCGCTGTAAACAAGTTGATAAAAGATTTCAATGTGTTGTTGTCTTATGTTTTCAAGGCTTATCTTTGTCACTTCGTTATTCAGAATGTATAAGTGGGTTCAAAATAAAATAAAAATAAAAGTGACCTGCACAATCGGCTTCAATGTGTTGTAAAAATTTCCCCATCCTGTTAACAAAACTGATCAGACTTTGGCTGTACTTAGAGTTAAACTTGAAGTGTCCCGTGTTCCACAAGGATGGACTTGAGAGTGTGAGTAACCAGGATTTACACGTGAGAGCAGCGTGGTACCTGTCTGTCTGGTCCAGGTGTTGGAAGACTTCAAGTAAGACCAGGTAAGGGAGGCGGTTCCAGCCAGCTTCTGTAAACTGGATGGTGTCATGGGTTAATAGAATCTTAAGGGGTCAAAGGTTTAGTGCATGGAAAGGTCAAATGTTTTGTGCATGGAAAGGCAAAGTTTAAATGGACACACATTGTACTGTCTTAAGATGTAAATACGTAAACGATTTCAAGCTAGTTTTGAAAAGGAAAGACGGCGTATATGAGTACCAAAGAGCACGATTTTTCAAGGAAAAACTCGAGGTAACTAACTTAACTATAGACCGTGCAAGTAGCCTTTTCAATGAAAAACTCGAGTTAAATAACTTGACTCTAGACCGTGCAATGTTCAGTCTGCACTAAAGACTTTCTATCATTCGACTGTTAAGTCAAATGGGGATAGACACAATGCCTCACATAAATACAATAACATAAATATAGAAAAGAAATAATTTACATTTGATCCTTAGGTCATTATATCTGTAAAGTATTTCTAATCTGATAACCTACCAAACCAAGCTCGGTACTGTTTTCATCTGAGTTATCAATGTTCTCAGCATCATTTTCATTCAATTTTGTGTCGTCGGTGTCACGTTTGAAACGTTTGCTGGGGTTAAAGTACCCTAAGCTTGACCATTCGGCGCCCATTGTATGGTGGAGAGTTCATATGCACAAAAGGTTGGCTTTTAGCCTTTTCCCACATACACCACGTAGTAAAGTGGTCTCAGGATCATTGATGTCTGTAGTGTAGTGTGGCTTTATAGGAATACATAAGTGTGGTATAAACGTAATGAGAAAAACAAAGTTTTGAGTTAATATGCTAAACATAGGCCCACCAGTAATAGTGCGTCAGGTATTAGTCAGATGTCTGTCGATGCTTCTGTAGTCATAATATATATATATATATATATATATATATATATATATATATATATATATATATATATAAATTATATATATATGTATATATATATATATATAAACATACATATATGAAAGCATGTATTGTACAAACCTTTTAGAAATACTAATTAGATAAACCATTATAGACTATCTCAGAAGGTGGTTCATAGTTTTAGTGAAATCTAGTAATGCGAGCTAGTGGGAATAAACTTTCAACAGCCGCCATGTTTGATAAGCGGAAGTTAATAATCATGTTCTAATCATAATTTGATGACACTTTACTAAACGAAATACATGCGTACTCTCAATTTTAGTAAATGTATTCTATAAATAAAATACTACCGCTTTTTAAAATATTTAAATAGCTGTGAATAATTATATATTTACGGAAAAGCTTTTCATTTTCTCCTTTAATTGCAACATTATATAAAAACGTGTTATGAAAACGTATTTAGTTAATATTTGTTTCAATACTTTGAAATGTTAAAACAATTTTGCACTTAATGAACACAAAAAATGTGCGTTTAATTGCGCGGAAAATAAAATAGTACTTTAATTAATTCATAATTAGGCATCGAATGGAGCAAAATGTCATGTCGGAATGCATTGGCATCGGGTCTTGTATATAAACGTGTTTTATAATAGATTTTTATTATGCTATATAGAAAATAAAATTATTTTCTTTAAATATAATAATAAACACATTAGAAAAACGATTTTGCTGATGTTATTTAACCTTAAATGTCTTGTCCTGGCATCAGTCATCTCCCTTATCAGCTGGACAAAACTGGAATCTTTTACAAAAACACATTGCTTGTACGAGGATCTGGTGGAGTGGGGAGGGGACTTGCCTAAAATAAGACTGTAAATGGCAGTCGACTGTTTAAAGCTGATAACATTTGGCCGTTTTATTAGTACGCCAGCTCCTCCTGTTTGTGACTTCTTTAACCGAGCCCTCAGTGTGTGCACTGATCCAGGAATTACTGGTTAGTAATTGTTTAGTTCTTAGAGTTGATAATTTTGATGGGGAATCATTGTTTAAGTATAGTCGATCCTTTCCAGCTTAATTACACCATGTTCATGGACTTGTTCAAAGAAGCTTACTGATAACTTTTAGGTTATGTGAAATCTTTAAGATATTTTCGTTAGTCAACCACAGGCTAAAAACAAAACTGGGCATCTAATTTCTCAAGATATTATACGTTACTACGTTTGTTTTTTAAAGGTTTGGATCAGTAGCGGCTGAATGAGCTGTAGCCGATTTTTAGGGGACCCAAATTGACCACTAAATTGTTGGTTTTCACAATAAAAACAAATGTTTTAATGTTTGACTCACAAGCTTCAATCAATTTTTTTTTCAAAATATCAAACATGTGCACACACCTAAGTATAAATACCTGCTGTCATCACCTCCTACCCAGATATTGTTTATATAAAGCAAAACTCCCTAAAATAACAGTCCGGAGCAGCGATCGCTTGTGTCCTTATAATGAGTTAATCTTAGCGTTACGAAAAGCAAACAGCAGCCAATTGTTACAAATGATTGATCCATCTTTAAAAAATATCCAGTAATTTAATTTTTTTCCCGTCAGATCGAGTAACTCGGTGTTAACAAAAATATAAGAATAATACTGTAAAGGTCAACACTGTGAGCTAGTTTAACAAAAATATAAGAATAATACTGTAAAGGTCAACACTGTGAGCTAGTTTACTCGTTTACTGATGGATTTGGGCCCGTTTATTTTTTTTTTGTTTAACACACACACACACACACACACACATATATATATATATATATATATACATCAAATATATATGCATATACCTATGTGTATATGTATTAACCTATATTACTTTATGTATCTAATTTTTTACTCCCCCCCCCATACATGGATTAACACATAAGTTATTACGATTCTCAGCCAAAACATTTACCTCAGGCATATTTTCAACGTTGAGTTAATGTAACTCCCCCCCCCCACTCACCCCCCCCCCCCCACCCCAATGGCGATTGCTTTAAACTGTGCTCAGATAATACTAACGATTTGTATCTATAGTCGGTTATAAATACAGCTTGATGTAGCATGTTTTCTCTATTAATCATTAGCAGGTTTACGTCATGGTGTAAACCCCCCCCCCCCCCCCCCACACCCCACTTTCCAACTTTGTCGGGATTTGTCAAATTTGGTCTTAACAGAATATTTAACACTCTAATTCAGTGGTTCCAAACTACGGCCCGCGGGCCGGATGCGGCCGGCGAGGTCCTCTCATCCGGCCCGCGGAGATCATTTTGTTCACGGAAAAAACCGTTTGTTGGTGATGGCTGAGGAACTTTGCCCTGAAAAATCAAAGACATGCCTGGAAGAAACTGGCCCCCAAACTGAAATTTGATAGTTAATGCGGCCCTCGGACTGAAAAGTTTGGAGACCCCTGCTCTAATTAATCACTTAATTAAGTGGAATTATCATTTTTCTGTATATATTTTTCTATTTTTCTCCTTGGTATCACCCTCCTAAATGGGGACACCCGGTGCGGTCCGCACACCCCCCCCCCCTTGCTACGCCTCTGTATATATATATATATATATATATAGGCCTATATATATATATATATATATATATATATATATATATATATATATATATATATATATATATATATATATATATATATATGGGGACCCCGCTCAAGCTTAATCCGCCACTGGGTTGGATGTGTCCTTAGTAAACAAAAGATAAATAATATTCTTGACAACACATTTGGTCGATACAAGTTCTCGCACTTTAATCAGGACAGTAACAAACTCAGAAATAAAAATGACAAAACAACACGTCAAGCGATTTTGTATTATATTTTATTTTTTAAGTTGTTGATGATAACGATACATATACACTCGGTGTATAAAATCCATATAACGTATAAATTCCACGTATTTAAGAAATGCAAACCATTATCTCTTTGCCTGATTTAGTTGTATGATAAGACGACCTTAAAGGTGATGGCATAACACGTAATAATTGTATCACTCTATAATCTATAACCAGAAATGACATGCACAATATTATATTCATGACTACGGTTGAATTGCCCCTGACCAAAACACGTTTCACAGATACACTTCACTTCCAAATTTGCCGGTGATTCTGTGTTACACACAAGCTATCAACTCTTGGCCACCGTGTTTCAGCCCTGAACATCCACGTACTTTACACAAGTTTTGCCAGCCAACAAAAAATTGTCGTCTGCCACGTGTCCTGTAAACTCACGTCCTTATTGTTCAAGGTGGCAACACAGGGGTGGGTGCTGGAGTGGTGAGAGGCAAGACCCAGTTTGATGGCAATCTCGATGAGTTGTTCCTGGCTACTCATCAGGGTTGAAGTCTCTACTGACAAGGTTTCCAAATTGTGACACCTATGACAAATTCATTTATCAAAACGTTTTCTTTCGCAGATGGGCACTGCCTTCTTGCAAATAGTAAACAACAAGTAAAGAACATACTGTACTGATTAAAGAACAAAAACAAAAAAAGCAACAAAAAAAAAAACGTTCAGATGTTAGTGACGCTGACCATGAATCAGCTACAACAGAATGCTTTTAGAAATTCAATGTAAAGTTCATATGCATTGTCAGTAAAAATCAACCGATGATCTTGATCGTTAGCACAAAAATAAAGTCTGTTTTATTGTATGACTTAAAGACAGGAGCGAAATTTGAGAAATAAAAAAGAGGTAGACAGGGCAAACCATCAGAAAGACAGATTATAACATACTAGCTTAGTGTGGAATCCTTAGGGAAAGAGGAGTTTCAGAGAGCAAAAAGTTATGAAGATGGGGGAGGATGGATTTTCAAGTCTTAAGCCTAACAAAATCCAGTTATTTGACGAATTTTACATAGGCATATGCTCTTCCAGTGGCGTAGGCAGGGGGGGTTAGGGGGGGGGGTCATAACCCCCCCCCATAGACCCCTCGGTATATATAAAAAGTATGAGGGGGGTGCAAATCGAAAGTTTGAGGGGGGGGTGCAAATCGAAAGTTTGAGGGGGGGGGGGTTGCAAATTGAAAGTGTGAGAGGGGGGGTGCAAATCGAAAGTTTGAGGGGGGTGCAAATCGAAAGTTTGAGGGGGGGGGGGTGCAAATCGAAAGTTTGTCCCCGGGTAAAAATTGGAACCCCCCCCCCCCTTGAGATGATCCTGGCTACGCCACTGTGCTCTTCAATGAGCCGGAGGGGGAAAAACGAAGAAACTTAAAACAGTTTAGAAGGTAGTTTGAAAAGGAACAATCTAATTTGGTCAATTTTCTCGTCGTGTCTTTAGAACAACTTCCTAAAATAGTAAATTAGTTTTGGATCATCTGTTATGTTCCACAAAGTAATAAAGCAAAAAATATATAAAATATATATATTGCAGTATTGGGGGTTGTTATGTGACGAGCAACCATACGCCAATCTATATGGTACATGTTACTAATTTTATAGAAAATAGGTTTAATACGTAACTTTAAATATACAAAAGTGCTTTAGGAATAGGTAGCAGTGTGGTAACACTACACAGTTAGAATGACAGCAATACCGTAGGATCAAATTACCTTTTGATTAGGCCCAGGAGGAAATATTCATAGGGAGAACTCCAACTCCAAAAACTGATGTTAATATGACGTAATGAATCCTATAAAAACCGATAACAAAATTCTCACTTGTTGGATGAATAATTGTGTTGCATTAGTTAACAAATCACAAGTTGAACTAACCCAGTTACACCCAGTATCAACACACACACACCCTTACACACACACGCACACACGCATTCACGCACGCATACACACAGACACAGACACACGCACGCACACAGGCACACATGCACACACATTCAGACACACACACAAAGACACACACAGACACACAGACACACAGACACACAGACACACAGACACACAGACACACAGACACACAGACACACAGACACACAGACACACAGACACACAGACACACAGACACACAGACACACAGACACACAGACACACAGGCACACAGACACACAGACTCACAGACACACAGGCACACAGACACACAGACTCACAGACACACAGACACACAGAAACAGACACTGGCACACTCAGACACACTCAGGCACACACAGACATACACAGACACACACACAGACACACACAGATACACATGCAGACGGACAGACACACACTCACACTAATCAACAGAAAACATCCAAGAAAATATTCGTACAACCATTTTTAAAAATGGTAACAACACGTTAAGATAAATCAAGCAAACTTATTAAGAAAGGCCTTCATTAAGCCAGCTAATTAAGCCCAATCCTACAACCTCCGCTGTCAGGTACTAGGAGAGATTAGCAGAAACAAGGCCAGGTAAAATGTTTGGTTGTTCTCCTAAGTCCAAAATTGTATTAACCATTGGAAGGCAATCGGTCAATTTAGGGTGCATCACAAATCAAATAGGATAATAATATGGCTGGCTCTCACACATCGATACACTAACATCTGGGAAAATAGAACTACAGTGTGAGAAATCGCCGAACCAACCAAGAATGACTTACCCGAAAGTTGTCTGTTATGTGTTCCAGGCAATGGTGAAAATTTGATAAGCCACAGCTCCAATATAATTTATGTAGTGGCATACAAGGGGTCAGAATTGCAAGTGCTATAAAGTCGTACCGCCGACCCTGAGAAATACAGAGTAGAAAGGTTTTTAGAACTATCAACGAACACATTAACTTGATTGTTATATTATTGTTTAATGTTAGAAGCCTAGCGTAGGAGCGATGGATTAGTGAATTAAAAAAAAAAACCTAGACAATAATTTGTCTGATTATCTTTCTAATATATAAAGCTGAAATGGACTCTTCTGTCTCTGTATGTATGTATGTGGCGGACAGCGGACAGACATGCATATAATAACAAACACGATGTGATCGCTATTGTGTAATACTTTTAAAGTGTTTATTAGCTAAATAAGTTATTTAAAACATTGATATTGATAGTTTTGTAAAACAAAAATCATTGTCCAAACTAATCATTTATATTTACAATCAATTAACGACGTTTAAAATGAACAAAATCGAAGAAAACATATCAACATTCATAAAATCTTAAATTGTGTCTGAAATTACTTATTTTTGTTCCTTTATTTGCCAATTACTTCCGTTGAAAGATCACGGAAAAACAGTTACTTCTCTTTAAAAAAAACATTACATGGGGGGGGGGGGGGGGGGGGGATAGGTTTTATTCTTTTGTTGCTTTTTTTTGTTTGAAAAATTTTTTGTATAAACAGCATGGATTTATAAAGTGCTTTGTGGTAGGTAGAACACTGATATTTTAAATACTGCCTTTTGTTTATATATACACTGAACGTACTGTTTACTATTTAATATTTTTAAGCAATAACTGTTTAGAAGCCACTTCTAAATGTCCTCTATATTTACTTCTATTTTTCGGTTGGCGGAAAAGCTGGGACTATTATTATCGTTCACTAAATTGAACCAGGGGTTCAATTTGGCGCCTTGTTTTTCCTTGTGTTTTTGTTTGGATTAGCGTTTCCCTTTGTGTTTTCATTGTGTTTGTGTTTGTGTTTTCGTTTTCGTTTGTGTTTGTATATGCTGCTTAATAAACACACAAGTCATGGTCCCATACGGATAGGTTTTTCACAGAGGCCAATGCAGGCCTACTACTAAGTACCAGTACTATCAGTACTAATAAAACTCAAGTTTGCCTACAGGTTTGTATATAATTCTTTTTGCTTTGTTTTTTTGTTTGTTTGTTTGGTTACATGAGAGAATCACACTATGTGTAGAGCTGTAAACTACGTATTTATGTAGAGAATAATGTTCTTCTAACTTGAGTATACATTACAATTCTCAAGATCTACACATAAGCTGTCAGAGGAAGGGAAAGTCAAAGTAGATTCTAGATTTAAAATCTATGTCAAACCAAAATGATTAGTTAAAACTAAAAACTATTATACAAATACATAAAATAGTTGAGTTTCTTTATTAAACTATTTTAGCCCTTAAATATATGATATAAATCTTTGCTTTTAGCTTCACATATCATCTAATTTTTCTAATTCGAGAACACAAGGAATTTATCTAGAGCAGGGGTCTCCAAACTTTTCAGTCCGAGGGCCGCATCAACTAACAAATTTCAGTTCGGGGGCCAGTTTCTTCCAGACATGTTTTTTATTTTTCTGGGCAAAGTTCTTCAGTCATCACCAACAAACGTTTTTACCTTGGACTAAAAGATCTCCGCGGGCCGGATGAGAGGACATCGCGGGCCGCATCCGGCCCGCGGGCCGTAGTTTGGAGACCCCTGATCTAGAGCTACGGAAAAACTAGATTTAAGGCAGGCGTAGATTCAAGACCTAGATCGGTCTAAATCTAGATCTAACTCTATCTAGATGTAGAACCTATGTCAATAATCAGTTTCTATACTAAACTATTTTAGGCTTTAATTATTTTATATAAATCTTTGTTTAGCTATGGAATTGACTAATGTGGAATATGATGAGATCTGAAATAATAAGGCCTATTCGCGTAACTCAAGTTTCTTACGCTGACTATCCCACTAATTTGGGACCTATTCGGAAGTGACAAGCTAGCTGAGATGATAGTGTAATAGTTACCACGCGGCTGGTACGGGTTCGTGACACATCATGTTACATTTTTTTTTCAATTTTGTTTTATAGATGTGAATGATAAACTTGCCTGTCGGGACTTAGTGGGACACGGATCAGGTAGAGTTGACCTGTGACCTCAGCATATGAAAGGATAGTGTAGTTAGACCTATGCTCAGCCGAAATTGGTGTTTTTAAAAGACAAAAACATGTCTTTGGTGTGACGTCTTTTTGAAATATGAGGTCTAGCTTTTTGTGAAGATGTGTGACAGTGGGAAGACAATGGTAAAAATCGTTAAACAAACGTAACGCCATGTATGGATGATCCACGAAACACACGGGTATTCAAAAATAGTCTAGTAAATTATTAAAACCCAAGACAATCACTTTGGTGGATCTTTTTATGGTGTCGGAAATTTACCTGATGTCCGACAATAGAAGATAGTTTGAATGTCATTCACAATCATATATTTATAGGAGGTATATTTGTGTATGTAAGATATGTAAAATCTTGATTTATGTATAATTTATATAGTTCCATGGACAAAATTGTTAATATATAAGCAAATAAAATGGACTAAAATTGTGTATGAAATAGGTGTGATGTCTGCGTGCTGATGTCAGTGTGGCTTGAAGAAATTTTTGATCTTTTAGCTATCAGCCTAACGGGGACCAGCTGCTTGGTGAGCTCACCGTTCTTGGGTTGATGAAAAGTTCAACGTTGAGGTTTGGACAAGCAGACTTCAGATACTGCCAGGCTCCACTGGTAGCTGGAGGATGGTGAAATCTGTCATACTCCTCTATAATAGAGATTAATCGCAGACTATGGCTGGCTGTCTTAGCTAGCACGTACAGCAGCTCGTCTGACATGTAGATATTGCAGAGTTTCAAGTCTGAAAGTTGGGAGTGAGTTCAGTTCTGGCAGTAACATTTAGATGTGTGACGGTTTTTTGTGTTGCGGTTTGGTGTGTTTTGGTTTGGCATGTTCTGGTTCGGTGTATTGTGGTTTGGTGTGTTGTGGTTCAGTGTTTTCTGGTTTAGTGTGTTGTTGTTTAGTGTGTTGTGGTTCGGTGTGCTTTGGTGTGCTTTGGTTCGGTGTGATGTTGTTCGACGTGTTGTAGTTCGGATTATTGTGTCTATATATGCAGTTGTTTGTTGTGGTTCAAAGAAACTCTAAATATTTCAGGTTTGAATTCGAAAAAAATTTAAAAAGAGCTGCTTTGTCTTAATTCCCACAAAGTCCACAAAATATGAATATTACTTCTCTAGTCCAAAAACCAATATTCTCAAAGTTTTCATATTTCTAAGTAGGCCTATATTATGGATGTTAAATATGGAAAAAGAGGATTTCATTCAGCTGTGTCGACCCCAACATGTATACAACTCTACAGGCAAACAAATAATTCAAAAGAAAATATCTTGATAAAACTTGAAGAAACAAAACATACCTGATAAGTTGCTAAAACGGGACATGCAACGATGTAATTTTTTATCAGTGCTGACATCCTCTGACTCCTTTTGTATAATGAGTCGGTTAATGTCCAGGGTGTGGATGGTCTTGTGGCACCGATGGCTGGCTGCAGCTTCTAGCAGCCGGAGACCTGTTTCGTTGTTGCAATAAGCATTTACTATTTGGTGGCTGTGGTAGTGCTGGCATGCGAATATAATTTTTTAATATTAGTTTGTTTTAGACCAGCGTTTACATCAGCTTTACCAACCTTCTTCGATATTTAATTCAGCGTGGCTGAGATCCAGTACTTGAAGATTTCGCTGATTTTCTATCAGAAGGGCCAGTTGTTCGACCACCTCCCACTTGTGGTGGACGGAGGATAATTTCAACATCTTCATGTCGGTCAGGCTGAGAGTGACAAGTTGTTGGTTGTTGGTGGTCAGTAGAGCTTCGATAAACTGGTACAAGAATCTTATGCTATAGCTGATGTCTCCAGCTTTCTGCGCTGTAATAGAATTGGTATTTCGTTTTAGTCATTTTGGTTCTTAAATTTGTATATAAATATAAATTGATTGAAAATAAAATAAAAAAGTATGTAACCTGCACAATCGGCTCTAATGTGCAGCAAAGATTTCCCCGTCCGTCTCATGAAAGTGAGCAAATATTTATCATATTTGGTATTTAACTTGAAGTGTCCCGTGCGCCACAAGACTGGACTTGAGAGTGGCAGTAGCCAGGATTTACACGTGAGAGCAGCGTGGTACCTGTCTGGGTTGTCCAGGTGTTGGAAGACTTGAACCAAAACCAGGTAAGGTAGACGGCTCCAGTCAGCATCTGTAAACTGGACGGCGTCACGGGTTAGTAGAATCTTAAGGGGGTTAAAGGTTTAATGAACTAAAATTATAGTGCATTAAGATGCAATCTCTCAACGTTTTAGAGCTGTCCTTAAGACTGAACCGGCGTGGCCGAGTGGCAGCGACTAGGACTGTCAGCTCTAGACCTCGGGTTCAGTTACTGGGCTAAAATATGTGAAATGTCTCCCTGCTCGAATGTGTCTGAGCCAAGAGCACATCGTATAATGTTGATAAGGTGATCATCTCACAGTGCCACACACAACACACACTCTCTCTCTCACACACTCTCAATCACACACACACAGACACAACGTTACACAATGCACACACACAGAAACACAGACACTATTTCTAACATGAATACGAGTACGAAACAGAAATCAGAGACACTCCATTTGATCCACCAGACACGTTTTAAATCTGTTTTACTAAAGTGATAACCTACCAAACCGTGCTCGGTACTACTTTCGCCTGAGCTATCAAGGTTGTCTACATTCAATATTGTGTGGTCGTTGTCAGGTTTGAAACGTTTGTTTTGATGGAAGTACCCTTCTCTAGACCACTCACTGCCCATGATGTGTCAGTAGAGGACGACCACGAAAGAAAAGCTACAACCAGACTCACGACGTTCTGATGTGGTCCTAGGTTTCTTGGTGGTTGCAGGGTAATTCTGCTTTACTTGAAAAGATTGGTTTATATTACCACATTGACAAGATCTGATTTTTGAGAAAAGTTACTAAACGCGGGTCAGTCAAATATTTGTCAAGTGACACTGCGTCAGGTATTTCGTCAGGAAGTCAGGTAGTCTATTTGTTAAAATGTCATCCATCTCGTATCATGTATATCAGGTATCTGTCGAAGTATTAGTCATCTATCAGTATGTCATGTATCTATCAGTACATCGGAAGTCTAATATATATATATATTTGTGCATGTAAGAATGATTTATATATACGTATAATATATATGGATGAATATTTTGAAACTTAATACATTCGCACATGTTAAAATATAATCTAACAAACCATTTTTAAATTCCTAAAGGCTGGTTTATAGTTAAGTGTGGAAATTCTCTTAAAAATCGCCATATTGGATATGCGCAAGCTTTAAAAATGCTAAACATAATTTGATGACGTTTTACGAAAAGAAACAAGTGCATACTCCAGTATAAATATAATTTTAAAAATAATTTCATTATCTAGGCCAATTTCCTACTAATCACTTTCTCGTATACAGAGTATAGAACAAGTATGGTAATCGCGGCAAATAATGAAATTGAAATTTTATCCGTTTTAATCGGTATACTAAATTTATATCTACTCTACTTTCAGATACTCAAAAGCCAAATTGATTGAGTTTCGCTTTTATAAAATCCACGAAATTGTTTTTATAAATTTTAGATTCTGTGCGCAATTTTTTTCCCAACTTGTGAAAGATTTCTGGTCACTGGAAGTGGTACTTTATTTCTGTTACATAGTTGCGTAAGTACTGCTTCAGTTAAGTGTACGAAATTTCATATCTAATTATAAGATCTTATCCATGGATTAGTTTTTTCGTGTCCTTCGTCCTTTATCATAATGTTGGATGGGATTTTCTCCAACGTTATTACTCGTCTACCTGTTTGGCGCCATATAAACCGTTGACTTTATTATCAGCCAACTTTTCATTCTGGATTTTCTTCCGGTGACCAGAAAGAAGCGCAATGGAAAAAAGCGCAAAGGAACAAAGCGCAAAACATAAAAGCGTAACGGAAAAAAACGCAAACGAAAAAAAGCGCAAACAGAAAAAAGCGCAAACGGAAAAAAGCGCAAACAGAAAAAAGCGCACACAGAAAAAAGCGCAAACGGAAAAAAGCGCAAACAGAAAAAAGCGCAAACAGAAAAATGCGCAACCAGAAAAAACACAACGAAAAATGTGCAAAAGAGAAATTTAGCACAATTACCTATATCGACTAGATGACACATTTATCCATAACTGTTAGGGCTGCTGTGAGAGTGTCGTGTTTGATCACGTGATCTACTACCATTTAAAGTATACCACTACCATGTGCATTCCCATCACCACGATACAGGCGATAATGTCTATTATTTTCTTGGTCAATAATTATTCAACTACTATTCTCGTATAAATAAACATAAAACTATCGACATTACACGAAGTATCTCTCACATTCTCCCTAGTCCGAACTATCTAGCGTGCATACCATAACTACCCGTTCCTATGGCAAAACTTCACTCTCTTTCATCCGCATCATCAAACATGCATTCGTCATATCTCTCGCACCAACATTCACTCGCACCAAAATAACAATTATGTATTTAATATTATTTCACATCATGAAGCACCTACCTACTTACCTACTACCCACCTACCCACCTACCCACCTACACACTTACCCACCTACATACCCACCTACACACCTACCTACCTACCTACCTACCTACCTACCTACCTACCTACCTACCCACCTACCCACTTACCCACCTACCCACCTACCCACTTACCCACCTACCCACCTAAAAAGTATCGGCGAAGTTCGTTAGTTTCGTAAACTGTAATAGATATCTTTTTTTTTTAGTGAAAATTCATTGACATCATTGACATAATTATGTTACATATATGTTATATTTTGCGACAACCTTAATTAGTGCGTTGAGCTTGTATGAAAACTCACTTCGAACTAACTCATTTTCATGCTATTTGTTTTAACATTACACGGTAAGCGTCACCCAACTGTTATGATGTGAGGTAAGGACAGGGTCGACAATAAACCAACACGAAATTACGAAAGAGACATAGACTGCCTATTAGAGAATGGACCCCCTAACTTTCCTAACCCCACCATTTATTATTACCTAACTAACCTCTAAATTTCCTGCGCTATATGTTACTTCCACCCCAATCGTTCCTATTCTACAGAATTGTGTGTACTATTTATTTACATTCTTTAATCTCAATATAACTAAAATAGACTATTGTTTGAAGGGTAATGAAAACATGTAAACAAAAGGGACGCTACTCTAAATCTATGCGAATACTTAATTTAACAATCCTAACCCCAACCAAAACATGTAGGCCTACTGAACAGCATAATGGGCTGCATAAAGCCAGAGTTTCTTCCAGGCATCTCTTTTACCGCCCCGCCACCCCCCCCCCCCTTTGAACGAAATGGAATTTATAAAGTAAACATACACTTTCACCAGTGTCCGCCCCCCCCCCCCCCCCGAAAAATGTTGACCCCCTCCCCCCGAAAATCCCCCCTCCCGGAGAAAAAACTCCGGAAGAAACACTGCATGTAGCCTATATAACAGAAGAGCTATGGTTGTTTATATCATTTTGCATTCGTCCGGTAAACATTTCAGTAAAAAACCTTCCATAACCTTTTAATAAAGAAACAAAGAGAGATGAAGTTTTAGAATTACATCATGCTTTGACTTACACCTACTCCAATGGCATCTACATTGTTAAACAGATTAACTATGTAATGTAGGGCTCAATAGGATCAATGAACTAACCTTACGCCAACCAGTTTGAATTTTCGAGTTTTGTAACACTGTTACTAAGCTAGCAAAATGGAAATGTGCATAATCTATATCATCTACACATACACCCAACCACCTACCTAACTATCAACCCACATACCCACCTAACAACCTACCCACCCACTTACCCACCTACCCATATATATATATATGTATATATATGTATATATATATATATATATATATATATATATATATATATATATATATATATATATGAGGTAATTAGATAGATGGGTAGGCAGGTAGGCAGGTAGGCAGGTAGGTATATTGGCAGGCAGGCAGGCAGGTAGGCGGGTAGGCAGGTAGGTAGGTAGGTAAGTAGGCAGGTAGGAAGGTAGGCAGGTAGGCAGCTAGGTAAGTAGGCAGGTAGGCAGGCAGGTAGGCAGGTAGTAAGGCAGGTAGGTAGGTAGGTAGGTAGGTAGGTAGGTAGGTAGGTAGGTAGGTAGGTAGGTAGGCAGGCAGGCAGGCAGATAGGTAGGTAGGTAGGTAGGTAGGTAGGTAGGTAGGTAGGTAGGTAGGTAGGTAGGTAGGTAGGTAGGTAGGTAGGTAGGTAGGTAGGTAGGTAGGTAGGTAGGTAGGTAGGTAGGTAGGTAGGTAGGTAGGTAGGTAGGTAGGTAGGTAGGTTGGTAGGTAGGTCGGTAGGTAGGTAGGTAGGTAGGTATCTAGGTAGCTAGGTAGCTAGGTAGCTAGGTAGCTAGGTAGCTAGGTAGCTAGTTAGCTAGGTAGCTAGGTAGGTAGGTAGGTAGGTAGGTAGGTAGGTAGGTAGGTAGGTAGGTAGGTAGGTAGGTAGGTAGGTAGGTAGGTAGGTAGGTAGGTAGGTAGGTAGGTAGGTAGGTAGGTAGGTAGGTAGGTAGGTAGGTAGGTAGGTAGGTAGGTAGGTAGGTAGGTAGGTAGGTAGGTAGGTAGGTAGGTAGGTAGGTAGGTAGGTAGGTAGGTAGGTAGGTAGGTAGGTAGGTAGGTAGGTAGGTAGGTAGGTAGGTAGGTAGGTAGGTAGGTAGGTAGGTAGGTAGGTAGGTAGGTAGGTAGGTAGGTAGGTAGGTAGGTAGGTAGGTAGGCAGGTGCGTCATAATGAAATAATATTAAATACATCATTGTTATGATGTGTGTTTTATCAGGGTATTTTGGTGCGAATGAATGTTGTTGCGAGAGATATGACTAATGCATGTTTAATGACGCGGATGAAAGAGAGTGAAGTTTTGCAATTGGAACGGGTGGCTATGGTATGCAAGCTAGATAGTTTGGACTAGGGAGAATGTGAGAAATACTTCGTGTAATGTCGATATCAAGGATATTTTTATGTTTATTTATACCAGAATTGTAGTTGAATAATTATTGACCAGGAAAATAATAGGCATTGTGTAAAGTGATTATCGCCTGTATCGTGGTGATGGGAATGCACATGGTAGTGGTATGCTTTAAATGGTAGTTGATCACGTGATCAAACACGACACTCTCACAGAAGCCCTAACAGTCATTTATAAATGTGTCATCTAGTCCATATGGTCTTTGTGCTAAATTTCTCTTATGCACATTTTTCGTTGTGTTTTTTCTGTTTGCGCTTTTTTTCTCTTTGCGCTTTTTTCCGTTTGCGCTTTTTTCCGTTGCGCTTCTTTCTGGGAACCTTTTCTTCCATTGGCTTTGTCTATCAAAGAACAAACTACAAGACAGCAGTTGTTTGTATTTGGCCTAATCTACCCCAGGGTCCCCACTCAGGACTTTTGGGTTTAAGCGACCGATATTATTACCCCTTTAGTTAGAAAAACATTTCTACATATGATCCTATTTTATGTGATTTCTATATATTATATATTTGATTTTCTATTATATTAAGAAAATTCAAAAACAAATAATAATAATAAATCGCAACTTTAAATAAACCGGGAGTGATCTCCCCTAAACTTTCTCGAATATTTTTATATAAAATAACAGGGGATGGGAACTCGGACTATAGACATGATTTTTAATTCATTTTAAATACTTAAAGTTTTAAAAATAGAATAAAATCTCGTAGACAAAAGAATTGCACACCAAGTGAACGCTAAATAAAAAAGTGCATAATAGTGCGCAATATTATTAGTACTTTAAAAATTTACATTAGTTTTTTGAGAAATCGGAAGTAGCGTAAATTACTACTTCCGTTCAACGGAAATGACTCAAAATTTAACAGAATGTAGAGAATTAGATTTTTTACTTACGTGTGAAATTTCGTTTATCTATCTGAAATAGTACTCAAGTTATAGGCTTTTGAAAATTTCAAAGTAGGAAAAGTACCACTTCCGGTTATCGGAAATTGCTCAAAAGTTGATACGGATCTACAATTTTGATAAAATACATATATATGAAATTTCATCAACCTAGCTGTAACGGTACTCAAGTTATCGTGTTTACACACACACAGACAGACAGACACACAGACAGACACACAGACATACGGACAAGATTGCAAAATTATGTTTTTCCGTATCAGTGAGATGTAAAACGTCGAGATTTGTAAAAATCTCGATTTTTTTTTTGCACGATTACAATATTTTCTCTATACTTCGT